ACAGGGCTTTTCGTTCTTACAGAAGGACAATTACCCCAACTAATGTCTGAACAAAACTACCCGCACTTTAAAAGTTTCGTATGCGGCTGGAAAATAACTGTGGGCCCAACCCACTTCTCCCTGGGAAGGCGTGAAGAAGCAGTACCTGGAAGGCCGCTAATTAGGACAGGAGAAGAAGATGGAGAACAATAACTAAGTGACAAAATTATCAAGCAGGCTGTGTGCACAGCAATTTAAAAATGTAAATAGATAAACATGCAACAGTGATTTGTTATACAATGTGTATCAAGTCACTGCTGCAAACTCCCGTATTGTCTTAAAGGCAGGGTAGGGAGGAAAATAAAATAAAATAAAAATAAAATAAAATAATAATAAACTCGTGGCTCTGTGCACACGCTTTAACCTATTCGGCCACCCCGCCCCCCGTCCGTCGTCCGCGCATTTTCTCCGAAACTACTGGACCGATTTTTTTCAAATTTGGATATAAAATCAGAGGTCACCCGAGGATGATCCTCCTTCATCGACATTACCATCCGCCTTTAAATTTCAAAATGGCGGCCGAAAAACCTTGCGTTGCTATAGACTGTAGCTCCTAAACGAATTTACCGATTTTCTTGACGCCCTTTAAATTTATCTATATAACATACTTCAACGAAAAGAAGCTGGAAAAAAAGTTACGAGGGATGGTAAAATTTAATTCCGAATAACTCAAAAAGTATACACTTCTTTGTGGATATTTTAATGGCTTTTCAAAAGTTTACAGAATTTCCTAAAAAACAAAATCGTCAAAATCGGACAATTAGGAGCAAAGATATGGTATCCAGTTTTTTATATGTTCTACTCCAGATGTTATATCCTTTGTTTGGTTTTAAATTTCGAATGTGTAACTGAAGTAATGCTATTTTTCTTTTCGCATATTACTAAAGATTAAAAAAAAAATTAGAAAAATAATTGGAATCACCTTTTATTTATTTTTCTTTGTCACTAGGAATGTAATGTTACTTCAGATGTATTGTTGTTTGGAAATAATAAACCATTGTGAAATAATTTGCAGCGTTTTTTAAAAGGCCATAAAATAATTAATTATGACAATAAACACTTTTTTTTATGAGAGAAAGGGTTCTTATTAGTTAACAATAAAATTGGTTGGGCTCCTTCGATGACGGTATCGATAAGACGACACTGACCATGCTGTAGGTTGCTGCTGAGAAGTGGTGGGGGGAGAGGGGAGGCCTCCAAGCCGTAAGCTGAAATAAGCAGCCCGGGTCCGTAAGTACATCGACTTCGTTGTTTTCTGGTCCTGGCCAATAGCCTCGCTAAAATTTTTCAGGATTTCATAAGCAAGTCTATAGCATACGTGCAAAAATCTAGTTCGATTGGACGAAAAAAAAAACAATCATGAAGTATAATGAGGCGGAGCCGATCTGTCTCTCTCACTCACGGGCTCGAGCCGAACCTCAATGAAAAGAAATGTGTGTTTTAGTTTTTTTTAGTCTTTTGCCATAAAATTACAATCGAAATTCCTTAATTAGATAATTGACGCCTACAAACCTAAAACACGACATTTCGGCATCATTTTTTCCACAAATTCAATTAAAATTACTTTCCAAGGGATCAGAGCGCTCTAGCAACTACTTTCAGCTACAATATTCAGATGTTTCGCCAATAAATGAAGAATTTTTAATATAAATTTTCAGAATTTATAAATTATTCGTTGTTTTTGAGTATAAATAAACATTATTTGTTTGATACTTAAAATAAAAATAATAATAATAAAAAGGACGGTTGTTTAGTTACTTCATCAAGATAAAATTGTTTCTCACTTACCAAGGGGGGCGCCTTCCCTGGTTACTTCAGTGTGACATATCACTTATTCCACAATTACTGTCATCTATTTAGTCAAGTCCTATAGTGCGACTGCACTACCACTACTGTCAATACTGTCATAAATGTGATTATTGTGCAGTTTTCCAGCATAGCACTTTCTTCAAATTTTAAGAAAAAGGCCGCCAGAGTTTCACTGATTTTCCAATTCAATAAACTATACAAGTAATGATAATATTATGTTACAAGTAATAAACTTTATTTATTTATTTATGCTTCCCTTCCTTGCCTTTCGGCTACACGGGATTTTGCAGGGATGGCATATCACACACGTGCATGCCATTCCTGCTATTAAACCACAAATTAATTTTCAATTTTGCTTTGTTTTGTTTTTTCAAATATCATCTTTTTTCATTATTTTCACTATATTAGTCTGGCGGCCTTCCATTAGCAGGTTCTCTTCCCAGATTAAAGTGGGACGGTCCCAGAGCAGCTTTCCACCCGTACACAAAATCTTTGTAAAACGAGTAGTTCTGCTCCGTCACTAACTCGGGAAATTCATCCTCCGTGAGGCCATAGACTCCCATTTTTCGGCCCATATCATTTCCTCCCCTTAATCCATCAAAGGCGGTGCAGTTGACGATAATATGCTCAGCCGTCTCCGGTACTCCGCAAGTGGGGCATAGGGGATCTATGTCTTTTCCAAAACTATGTAACTTAGAGCGGAAACCCCCATGCCCAACTGATGATTATCTGCTAATCTAATTAAGGTCGTTGTAATCCTAGCCCCTCAATATTTCCTAGGTGCCGTTGCTGATGCTGCCATCCCTGTAACTGTAGCTGTATCCCTACCCCGTGTAAACGGACTTTAAATAATTAAAAGGAACCGTTACTGAACGAAAAGTAATCTGAGCACACATGTTTTGTTTTTTTAACCTCTCGCACGAATACAATGCTTCCCTACCTTCGTTAGTGAAGAAGCAAAAACAAAAAAAAACTTCAACATCCATCTCATTGTTATACAATGCATGTTAAACATTTTTCAACTGTTTAAAATGTGGAGGGAGCGGGGTAGCTCAGTGACAGAGCTCAAGGTCCCAGGTTCGGATCCGGCAAATGACTAGTAATTTTTCATTAGCCGTGGATCGACCCTCCTGGGGCAAACTCAGCCTCTATAAAGTGAATACTCTTAATTAAAACACTATTTAAGGAGAAAAACCTAGCGTTTGAGCGTGATATAGGGCCCATCACCTCTCTATACAACCATTGCCCTTGTAACAGTACTTCCTCATATAGTACTGCACCCAAGACCCTTCATGGATTGTAAGGTTTAAGATATGTGGGCGGAGCGGCCGAGTGGGCTTTTGCTCTCACCGCGCGTTGCCCGGCAACCTGATAACTGAAGTTTAGAGGAAAAATAATTAGGAGTTAGCATACCTGTGCTGGGAGCATAGGCGCAGACTTTTGATTTTGATTGGGAGAAGGGCGATGGACTAAAAAAATTGTGGGAGGTTTTATTATGTTTAAAAATTTAACATAATTATTGTAAAACCCACAAATAAAATTATTACAATAGGTGTAAAAAAAAATTATCGAGTTTCAACCAAATATTTGTATTATTGTTTCTTTGATATACAATATAATTAATACTCAAAGTATAGTCCTTTGTTATCTACCATCATTAACCATCTGCTAGCCAGTTGCTCGATTTCACGCTGATACCATTCTTAGGGAAGGCTGTCAAAGAACTCTTAGACCACAACTTCAACTTCCGCAAAATTATCAAATTTTTTCTCTTGAAGAAAATGGGCCATGGATCTAAATAGGTCTAGACTATATGAAGGATGAGGCAGGAGTTCGACTCCATTAAGTTCTTTAAACTTTTCTTTGGTTCGACGGGAAGTGTTAGGACAAGCATTATCTTGTTGAAGTAAAACTCCTTTTCGGTTAATCAAAGCAGGATAACGCTCTGACCACTTCACGTGCACTCTTTCCAGTTGTTCGCAGTAGAGTTCAGAATCCATAGAGCATCCATCAGGAACAAATTCGTGTTCAATAACACCTCCAAAATTCAAAAAAGCGCAAAGATGTTTTTTTTTTAAAATGCCCTCTTGTAGCGACCAAAAAAGCAGTTTGACCGCGATCTAGCCATTGCCCATGGGTATTCGGATTTTGCCAGTAAACCGACTTTTTCTCATCGAAAGACGAAATGTTCTAATAGTAAGTAATTAGGCTGGTCTCCCCTCCCCGGGAGTTAGACCATTACCTTCTTAATTAGGGAAGGCCAGCAGGTTGCAGTAAAATCACTTGTAAGAACAGGATAGGAAAAAAAAAAATCCTGATCTCCGTAAGTCTATTTATTGATTTATGTATGGAAAAATAAAAATTTAAATGGTCCAGTAACTTTATCTGACTGATATTTAAACCAAGTATATTTTTTCATTTGAAAAGGTTGTATTTTCACTAATTTTGTTGATGACAAGTTTTTAACTGCATTTCGACAAATTCAATGATATTCATATATTCAAAAAATATCAGGAATCGGGTATTTTATTATTAACTTCAAAAATTGATTTATAACCATTTAAACTAATGAGGAAAAACCTGATAAGTTTTATAATAAACAAAAGAAGTTGTAGAACTTCAAATTTTCATACTCGTTTTTCTTGAAGTTGAGGTTAGATCAGTTAGACCCTTGTTTTTTATATTCCTCTGAATAGCGGGTAATTTCGATTATCAATTTATTAATACTACTATAACTTATAATACTGATGTATGTAGTAGTGGTGATATCCCTCATATGAGTATCATCTGATTAATAAAACAAACAAGATTAAGGTTTCCAAAATTGGAGAAAATTTCCTCAAATTTGCAGCTGCTTAATCAAACTCCAACTTAATCAAAGTTAAGGAACAAATCGACATTTTTGAAATTGTGTTTTAATATAATTATTATTATAAAAGTAGTTAACACCTGTCAACTACTAACAACAAAAAAATTGTAATTGCAACTACTTCTCAACTTTATACTGAATTTTGAGTATTTTTGTGTTATTCTGGGTTGGATGTAGAAACTTAGAAGAAAGTAATTAATATTTGTATTCTATATGTATTTTTGTATTGTATGAACAAATACAAGTAGTAACAGTTTTTCATTTTCATATGTGACTAATCAATACAGAATTTGAGTTTGCGAATACTGAATACAATAAACCTCCTCTGATCGGAACTAACTGATGACAATAAATAAATATCATCCATTATTAACTTTTTATATAGGTAAAAAATTGTATGCTAAGCTTTTAATATAAATATTTGTTTATTAACAATTCTTTTATAAATATAATGTGGATAAGAATTAAGTATATTTACTTATATATTTAGTTATATATAATTGCAATTCACAATTTGATGACATATTTCTATATACAATTATGTACAAGTCTAAGTATGGTTTCGTCTATATTAATGCGAGCATAGAAATTATTTTTTTGAATCTGAACTGGTTAGATTCAGTATCTGTTCACATACTTTCTTATAGCACCAAGCATCACCTTTCAATCTCTTCCTTTTAATACCGATTATAGTTTCTTTCTTTGTCGCTGATGGCTGGATTAAACAAATTTCTAGCTCAAATGAAAGTTTACAACTCTTTATATCTTTATCTGAAGGTCCAGCAATTTTTCCACGTATGAGATACCTATTAAACATAAGAACATTAGATAGCATATTGGAATAAAAGTAGCAGAGAAAATACTCATGTTGCATAAGTATTTCTCTTAACTACTAGTTAAATCTCATAAACATTCATTTTTCTGCTTGTTTACTATCGTTCCAAGTTTTAATTACAAGCAAAGAAATTTTCTGTAATTTTGATATTTTTTTCTAAATAAAAATACCTCCATAAATGCAGTTCAATATTTTCAGATAAAGCAAAAGGTCATTTTCAAAATAAATAGCATGTCTTGTAATATTAAGAGCGCATTGCGGTAACATTACATTAGTATGCGGTCAAATAAATACTAAATTTTAAAAAATAGTATTTTTAATTATTACGCTGTAGTTTCGACCCACCTTGCAGGTCTTCATCAGGGCTACAAAACATAAAAAATATAAAAGGTGCATGGTGAAAATAAAATAAATGAATTACAAGTAGATATTAAATAAGAAACAGTTGTCTGATAAAGAAATAATAAGATGACATCAGAGATATAGTGAGTGATAATGTAGGGAAAATATCAAGTATTAAATGAGTGTATAACAAACTAATAAAGATTACATTTGATAACTGTAGGTTAACAGATAAAGAAAATGAATCTTCTCGTTTTTTAATATAGTTATTTAAGATGTAACCTCTTAAGAGTGCAAAAAACTTTACTTATAAAGAAGAATAGCTAACACTAGCAAAAAAATATTCCCAAATTTTGAAATGCAAAAATTCTTGAACAAGAGCAAAAATATAAATTAGATTCACTCAGCAATAAAACTAATGTTGAATTGGAAATCTTAAAGCAGAAAAATGCTATTACAAAACTATAGATGGAGGAGAAGCATGGATTTAAGTGGATTAATTTGTTTTACTATTTTCCACACAATGTTACATTAAATTATGCACCTGAAGTAACAATTTGAGATACAATAGAATGGCAGACAAGTATATACCTGTTCTCTGTCCACAAATGTTTCAAGTTCAGTATGTATGGTAGCACTAAATTAAAATTATTTTATATAAGGGATTTAAAATATAGACTAAAATACAAAAATAAGACAAGAGCAAAACATATAGAACAACCAAGATAATAGTAATATAATATAAGCATAATCCTATATATAATTGTTAAAGATAAAAGTATTGTTACTATTTTACTATTATCTTATGTATACTATTTATATTTAACCTTGGTTTATTTATTTACTTCGCCTATATCTTATATTTCTGGTGTAATTTTTAGCGTTGATCATGACCCACACACTTGGGCCGAAACATTAGCAACGAGAATAAAAAAAACAAATATTTTAATTAAGAATATCAAAATCATAAAAATAATTTTTACAGAATGGTCTTGGTAATTTTAACATGTAGATTGCATGACCTGCTGAAATTATCAAAGGTTAAATTTAAAATGATAGAAAAATTGCATAAGGTAACAAAAACATATACATTATCAGTTAAACATAAACACATTGCAAACAATAAACAAAATTGGTGAAAATTATAATATACTGTATACTGGTGTAAATTATTACATAATGTACATAGTGTCTCTGATTTTGTTGCTAAAGAAAACGCCTAATCTCGCGAATTCGTTTAAAGTAACAGGCTTTGGTAGTGGATGTACCCCTTCGCCCACTCCAAGCAAGTATTAAATGCCTTTATGGCGTTTCTTATGACTTGTCAATAATGAAAAATAAAATAGCTGGTAAAGAAATTTTCAAGTGACCTTGCATAAATTTGGAAATAACCCCAAAACAATATTTTTCCAAGGAAACTAAAAGGATGTCTGTAATATTAAAAAAAAACATATATTTCTAAATTAATTTTTAGATCTTTAGATATTCAAAGTTTTTCTAAATTGGACTAGAGAACCTGAAAAATAATTATAGTTGAGGATTAATGAGAAGTAATTTTGTTTAACAAAACATGCAAAATAAAAAGTTTTTTTAAAATTATAATAATAATAATAAGGCTTAGCGAACCCGAAGGTTCAATGCCGACACCACCAATCGCTTGTTACACATCTCCCTCCATCGTTCGCCGTCCAAACCCAGTCCCTTCAGATCAGCTTTAATGCAATCTTCCCACCTTCGCTTCGGTCTACCCCTCAGACGCTTACCATTCGGCACAGCAAATATTAACCTTTTAGGAATTCTCTCGTTACTAAGCCCAACAACTTTACAAGCCCATTTGATTCGCCGCGATGAAATTACCTCAATTATATTACCCGGATACAGCTCACGCAATTCGGCGTTGTGTAACCGTCTGAACTCTCTGGTTAACTCATCCTTCTTCGGTCCGAATATTCTACGCAATACTTTATTTTCAAAAACCTTAAGACGCTGCTCATCCCTTAATGTAAGCGGCCAAGTTTCGCATCCATAAAGAACTGTAGGCAAGATAATTGTTTTATAGATTCTAATTTTTAAGTTCCGGGACAAGAGGCGCGAACTAAGTAGTTTTGTCACAGAAAAATAACAAGCATTTCCCCCCTTCAGTCTAACCTTAATCTCTTCTTCAATTTCGTTTTTTCTAGTTATCGTAGAACCTAGATACCTAAATTTATCTAACTGTTCAAACATATTACCATCTATATCGATATCACCAGTAGTATCGCCATTTTTGCAGCTAACCATATATTTTGTTTTATCCACGTTTATTTCGAGTCCTAGTTCTTTACCGGCTTTCATTAACGTTGTCGTATTTAGTTTTATAGTTTCAACGTCTTCGCTTAACAGTACCAGATCATCAGCATAGCCCAGCACGGATGTTGTCCCGCCCAGATCCAACCCTCTCTCTGTTCGCATTACCTCCCTAATGGCATGTTCTAATGCCAAATTGAACAGGAGAGGCGAAAGAGAATCCCCCTGTTTTAAGCCCGAACGAACCTCAAATTTTTCGGACAAATTATTCCCGATTCTAACTTTATTGAGTGTCTCCATCAAGCACATCCTGACTAGATTTACTAGTTTTTTTGGAATCCCCTGCTCGATTAGAATATTATACAGTTTCTGGCGGTCAATAGAATCGTAAGCCTTTTTAAAATCTATATACAGCTGGTGAACATTACCGTTATACTCACAATTTTTTCTCTAATATTTGCCGTAAAGAAAATATTTGATCAATAGTCGAACGATTCCGTCTAAATCCGCATTGGTAGTCTCCGATAATTTCCTCGGCGTATTCCGTGATTCGACTGGTTAAGATTAAAGTAAATATTTTATAACATACCGGAAGGAGTGAAATTCCTCGATAGTTATTACAATCCGTCCTCGGACCCTTTTTGTGAATCGGAATAAGAATAGATTCTTTCCATTCTTCAGGTAATTTCTCGTTCACCCAGATCTTTTCAACCAACCGATGTATTTTAGAAACTCCAGCTTCCCCCCATGCCTTAATTAGTTCAGTAGGAATATTATCGGTTCCCGCTGCTTTATAAGATTTTAATTTTCCGATAGCTACTTCAACTTCCTCTTTACTTGGTTCTTCTATTAACGGTTCAGCACTCTGGTACTCAGAAGGAGGACACAGATCATAATTTTCCGTATTTCTTTAAATTCCGTATTTTCTAAAGCTTCAAACCTATTCTTAACATCTAGCTCGAATTGGTTTCTAATTGATGGATTTTTTAATTTTTCCAAATTAAAATTCTCAAAATCGAAACGGTTTTCTTTTCTCTTTTTTATATTTTCGAAGTTTCGCGATTACTAATTCATGATCCGACCCACATTCTGCTCCGCGATAAGACCGTACATTGATTATACTGCTTTGCCAGCTGTGTTGTATCAAGACATGATCGATTTGATTTCGTGTTTGCGAATCCGGCGATGTCCAAGTATATTTATGAATATCCTTACGTTTAAACGTCGTACTTTTAATTACCAGGTTTTTCGAGATGGCAAAGTTTATCAGACGGATCCCATTATCATTACTATATTTGTGCAAACTTTCTTTACCAATCGTCGGAATATAAACTTCTTCCCTTCCTACCTTTGCGTTCGCGTCACCTACAATTATTTTCATGTAGTTTCGCGGTAGTTTATCATAAACCCATTCGAGTTTATCGTAAAATTCACTTTTGACTTCATCGTCATTGTCTTCGGTCGGACAATGTATGTTTATTAATGCGATTTTAAACCAACGTCCCTGAAATATAGCTACCGAAATTCTATCACTAAAGAATTGTACGTCCCTCAAAGCGGATAGTAATCTACTCCTAACTAGAAACCCGGTACCTAAACAATGATTCCCGCTTCCTTCGTACCAAATAGTGTACTTTCCTTCCCTCATCGAGCCCTCCCCTGGCCAGCGAACCTCTTGCAGAGCCACGACATCCAAATTGTACCCATTTACCTCATTCGCGACCGATTTTAGCCCCCCTGCTGTGTTTAAACTTCTTACGTTCCACGTACCAATATTTAAATCCCTATATTTCAACTTGCGCCATGAATCCCCTAAAGCAGTCCCCACCCGGAGACCCGAACGGGGGACTAGTTTACCTCCGGATAATGAGCGTTTTACCTTAGGGAGATCCATGACTTTTTATGGTGTTTGGTGAACTAAAGATATGTGAGTAGGGCGTTCAATCCTACGTCACACCCTCCAGCAAGTCTGGTGGGCCCCTCCCTCCAGCAAGTCTGGAGGGCCCCTCTCATTGTTGGTCAGCGAGTCCATCGGACTTAGCCGGGAGGAACTTCCAAGGAATTTCCACCGACCATCCCCACATCCGCCACCCGTGGGACGCTCCCCATACGCGGTAATGAGCCCGCGTGAGGAGCATATTTAAAAATTATATAAAAGAGAGATGTAGGGCAACAAATTTGATGGTTCACAAAATAACACTAAAACTAAGAAAAATAAAAAATCCTATTATTTGGTTCTTTACTCAAATAACCTTAATACAATAAATTGTACTTTCAATTAGATGCGATTAAGAAAAGATACACGGTAAGTCGTGATATTAACTGAAGCAATATTATAACTTTGCTGTGTCCAAATATGTGTTCCTTCTTGGCTGCACCTCTTAACTCTTAATATCTTTCCCTTGATTATAACATCTATTGCCAACAATATCTCCATCATTATGATTTGTGTATTTAATTGTATTCCCACAAATAAGAAAAACTTAAGAAAAAAACAGGCCATGAGTCTTCAACATACAGGTGAACAGTTAACTACCAATGCTTCAGGCATCATATCATCGAGGTAGAAAAAACCACAACACATATATGCAGGAAGAAAAATAACAACAAATTATTCCTGTTGACATCTCAAGAAACCATTTAAATACATATTCTTGAGTATGTATTTGGATGGTTTTGTAAGATGATGTACACTGACACTCACTCAGTAAACTTATACAGCACACTACATACACACAACCCCACACTTTACAGACAAAGGTTACTAACAGTATACCTTACAGCTATCTTCCCTAAGTAGCTATCCCATTAAGGGAGCTGGTCAGGAAGATCAAAGGGAACAGCAACCATCTGTCTCGGGGGCAATAGACTAAAAACCCATTCCCCTTAAAATATTTTACGAGACCTCAACAAGAAAACGGTGACTAATTCAAGGTAATAGACATGGAACCCGTCAAACTGACTTCAAACTTGAATTTTAACCTTAGAGCAGGACAGCGAAACCATACTTTCGGCACTGGCTTTGTTGTGAAAGGAGAGATGAGACAGCTTGTCATTGCATTTAAGTTTATAGATGAACGCTTATGCTCTATAAGGATCAAAGGTACCTTTTATAATTATATTATTTTTAATTGCCATGCCACAACGGAGACAGCTAGTGAAAAGAATAAGGAAATACTTTATGACTCTTGAAAGGGCTTACGATGCCTGCCTCAGAAGTGATATCAAAATGCTATCAGGAGACTTAAATGAAAAAGTTGGAAAGCAAGAAGTCTTCCAACCCACTACAGGACGGCAGAGCTTGCATAATGGAAGTAATAGAAATGGGAGAATTCTAATAAACTTTGCCGCCTCTCAAAGCCTTGTTGTTGGAAGCACAATTTTCATAGAGCTACATGGAAATCTCCAGATGGTGCTACATTTAGCCAAATTGATTATCTACTCATAAGTGCATACCAAAGGTTGAACTTAATGAATGTAAGGACTTATTTAGGTGCTAATGTGGACTTGGACCATTATTTAGTAATCGCAAAGATCAGGCAAGGGTCTTCAATGCAAGGAATAGGAGATCCCAGAGACCTAAAGGTACTATTTCACTGGCGCGGTCCACGATCGCGACTGCTTGCGGTTGACCACTGCTTTAGTGGAATAGAAAGGAACCTATTTCGCTGGCACTACTCGGCAATCTAGGTATGACGTCATATCTGACAGCTCTCGAAGCAGTGGAGCTGTTGGCAGCTCGGCGGTTGTAGGTTATGTTATCATATCAGAGCATTGTTTTGATGATAACAGTCACGTTTATACGTTTTATTTCCTATGTTTCCTTCAAGTCTAGCAAAATTATAAGAAATATTGTTTAAAACTTAATGTGATTTAATTACAAATATATGATATTTATTATTAATCAATTATGTAATAATTACAATTATTTTTCAAACTAATAATATCTAATATCAGAGGGACTATTGTTGTTAGTACGGCGTTTTCTGTCTTTTTGTTCTTTTTTTGTAGTTCCTCAATTTTTGGTTGTTCATCTAGAAAATAGCAAACAATGTTTAAGAAGGGATTAGATGATTTGGATGATGAGCATCTCATTGAAATACTGATATTCCTTCTCCTTATGAACAACATTTCCATTTCTTCTTCTTCCTCCTCAAATAAAAAAGCGGTAGTCAGAGAAAGGGTGTCCATTTTTTTATCTTCGAAGATAAAGCAATTATAGGCAGGTTATAACAATCCCAGTGAGCAGTTTCAGCGAAATAGCTACGCCAATAGCGGTTGGCAGCGTGGAATAGCGGTTGCTGTCGTGGGCCGCGCCAACGAAATAGTATCTTAAGAAGTGGGCTATTGCAAAACGAAAAGACATAGTGATCCGAACTTCCTTATGACATGAAATAAACTTCAAGGTACACGAGGCACTTGGTGATATTGATGACAGTAATGTACAAGGCAAGTGGGGATCCCTGGAAGTGGAAGAAATACTTGGAGCTGAACAACACTGTATAAGATCACCGCGGTTTAATGAGGAGTGTAGGAGAGCTACTGAAGAAAAGAACATCGCTTACAGAGTTATTGTTCAAAAGCGATATAAAAGAGGATCAACTGAAGTGTACTATGAAAATAAGGAGTTTGAAAAAATTCAAGCACATAAGAATGAAACCCAGGCATTCTTCCAAAAGGTAAATAAGGGGAAGGCCTTCTTTAACCCTAGGCTTCAATCTTGCAAGGAGGTCGGCAATTTCGACAAGACAGATCTATTAAAGATCAAATTTTTATACTGCCCACGATCCTTGAAAAGGGGCATGAATATAAATTGCCAACTCACCACTTCTTTTTCGATTTCAAGTGCGCTTATGTTAGTATCAAATGACAGAAAATTTATGAAGTGATGGAGCAATTCAGGATCCCTTAGAAGCTAATTAGACTGGTTAAAATGACCATGGAAGATTTACGATGCCAAGTTCGTGTATAGTCGGATTGCTCATCGGAATTTCCTTCTGACAAGCGATTAAGGCAAGGGGATGCGCTTGCATGCTTGCTCTTCAATATGGCCTTGGAGGAAGTTGTCCAAGACTAAGGCATTTAATGGATTTAATTTAAGTCTTTATAGATTAGATCAATGCTTGGCTATGCGGACGACTTAGGTATCATCGCAAGAGCCTTTGCAGCTCTAGAGAAAGCTTTTCTCGACCTGCAGAGAGCTTCTTAAGCTATGGGCTTCATTGAGAATGAGGAGAAAACTAAGTATATGTTCACAGGAGAAGGCACAGGAATATGGGAGTGAAAGGTGGCAAACGAGACCTGCACGTTTGAGTCACTGAATTCACATATCTTGGAACACAAGCCAATGTAACAAATGATATGTCTGCTAAAATTAAGCAAAGAACTGCAGCAGCAAATAGGTGCTACTTTGGCCTGTTCAAGAATAAATGGAGCAAGCTTATAAAGAGGAAAACAAAGTTGCGGCTGTATAAAACCTTAATAAGGCCAGTCCTCACACATGAAAAACTTGGATTCTGAGTAAGATCTATGAGAAGAATATCCTTATATTTGAGGAGGAATACCTTAAGAAGAATATTTGACCCTGCGAAGGATGGGGATTTGTGGAGAAGTAGAAAGAATCCGGAACTCTACAATCTGTTTTCCGATGCTGATGTCATTAGGCTCATTAAGCTCGTGAGATTGAGATATGCAGGACATGTTGCAAGCATGGGTAAAGTAGAGATCCCAAACAAAATTTCAAGTGAAGTGCTGCATCGCACTAGAAGAGCTGGATGGCCGAAGCTACAATGGGATGGGTGGCATGGCGGTTGATGCAAGGAGCCTAATTGGTATCAGTACTAACTGATAGCAAAAGATAGAGCCCAATAGCGGAGGCCAAGACCCACCATAGATGTGGTGTAGCGCCACGTAAGGAAGCAAGTAAATTAACAACTGTAGCCATCTACAGGCAAATTCTTATTATATATTTACACAACTGGAATAGGGGAGCACCCTACATGTTGTGTAAGAAACAAATATTGTTTTTTTTTTTTTCTAACATTTTCAATATCCATATTTGTTTAATAGTTTATATACATAACGCATTTGAGGCTTCTATTAAAATATGTTGGTAAACTAATGTCCTAATAAGGCTAAGTAATGCTGTTCAATTGAATTGAAAGTTAGTTCCTGTGAATAATAACCAGAAATAGTATATATGAGAAGAGAAAAATAGATATTTGAACTTACCCCTTGCTTTTAAAGCTGATTCCGGCATCCAATAAGCCAGATTTTAATTCCTCCAGAGCAATATCAGGATCATTGAATGGAGTTGTAGAAACATTACACATTTGCTGCAATAATAAAAAAATTAATAAACGTTTTAATGAAATATTTTTTTAAAAAATAGGGATTCAAATGAAAGATTAAGAAACCTTGGCTGTCAATTTATTCAGATAAAAACAATCAGGAACTGTAGTCTTCTTCCGAGGGGTCAAAACATCTCGTACTTTATTCAACTTTTTTTCTAAACTGCAGAGGATTTTATTTCCTGGGGTAGAATTAATTGGTGTAGATGGAGAGCTGTAATTATAAAATGTCAACTTCAATAATATTGAAAAATCATTACCATCATGTATGGCAAAAGACACCAAGTCCAGTTAGAGGATTTCGTGTGATAGTAATTTCTGAATTTGATGTAATAGTCATTTTCTGAATTTGAAGTAATTTCTGTTTGATGGAAAACAACGTACATGGACTAGATAAATGTATACATCAAATTACAAAGAAATAAGGCATTAAATGACTTAATATTTGTCAGATAAAAACTTATGATTTGATAAAAGAAGAAATTAACTATGTATGTGAAATGTGATTTTTTTTTTTACAATATTGGATTAGAAATTATTGCTTGAATGCCAAGAGAAAATGCAACAAAAGGAAATTCTGAGATGGGTAAGCAGTCGACTCATCAATTATAAGGATGAAGCAAAATTTTAAGGAATTTCAGGCAAGATATTTTTATTGGGTTGGCTGACGTTTCGACCCAAACATGTGGATCATCCTCAGGGCTAACATTTGGAAGTCAAGACAAGAGCTCAACTTTTGAAAACTGAAGTGAGTTCTTGTTTCAACTTCCAAATGTTCGTCCTGAGAATGACCCACATTTTTGGGTAGGAACATCGGCTAGCCCAATAAAAATATCTTGACTGAAATTTTGGTTTCAACCAAAAGAAATTTGAAATTAAAATAAGAAACAATTAAAAATTGTGATCACTTGGTGATGTCGTCTTTTACCTTCTCAACATAATCTTGTCCTGAAGTATGAGGATCAGCCTATGAAAATTTAGACAAGGAAACAATGATAATGTTAAAGAAGATGAGATTAATACTTCTAATTTTATCTGTACTTATTATGTAATTGACAATATTCCAGAGTTAAATTAATTTTCAAATCTAAAACAGCTCATTTTTCATTCCTCACAGTTATCAACATCATTCTATTTTTTTCTTCTCCTAATTCTATATATTTAATACTTTCACAGTTAACTAAACTAACATTACAAAATTATAATACGGTTTAATTTTTGTTTTCACTTCATTCATCAGATGATTCTTTTCTTTTTAATTTTCTACTAATCTTCAACAAAAACTGTTATTGGCGATCAATTAAGGTAGCACAATTTGGAAAGCGAGTTCTTTATTTTGCAAAAAGTTTTTTTAATTTACTTTATTTTTATTTTAGCAGACCAAGTGTCCAATTGATAATTATCATGGGAATATGGGCTTTGTGTGCAGACAGCAAATAATGTGTTTTAAAATGTTTGTGAACTCTTTTAGTCATATCCGCTTGCATCTGTATTTTGTGGGTGGATAAGTTCAAATAATGTTTAGCTTGCCAAGGTTTTGTATAATGTAGAATTTGAGCATATCTTTCTAATATTTATTTTAGCTCATTGTAATTTTCATAAATCTAATATCGGTACTTGTGAACAATCCGGTCAGGATTAAACCTCCCTTCTAATCTTATTTTATGTCACCTTTTTATCTTATCTTTGTAATTTTTAGATATTAAAATAAAACCCCATATGTAACAAATTTTTACTAGGAAAATGATATTGTGCCAAAAATTAAAAATGTTTAGGAATATGTTGATGAATATATATATATAAGCATATAATAATGCTTTGTTTATTCTGGGACAAGTCTCTTTAGAATAATTTACAGCGTTGGAGCCTCAGATAATTATCACAAAATAAACAGATTGATATAATGAATATAAATAAAAGAAAAGAATATTATTTAACTTCAAACTTCAATTAAGAGGGAAAAAATCAAATAAAAGTATTTAAAACAAAGTAATTATTTATATATATATATATATATATATATATATATATATATATATATATATATATATATATGTATATATACTAGCTTTACCCAGCCACGAGCTGCTGTGGCTTAGCCTGGCAAAATGAAAAAGAAAGAAAATAGAAAGCACATATGAGTAGATTAGTAGCAAAGGACATCCGTCATTTTTAAAAAGTTGGAAACAAATTTGTCTGTGAAATGGCTTCAATTGAAACTAATTCTAATTGTTTTTTTTTTTCTCGTGATTGAAATTGAACATTCATAATCATCTGAGTAAATACGCCGTCATTCATAATCATCAGAAACAGTCTGAGTTGAACTTATTAAAAAAACGTACAATAGCATTGACCTACATAAGGAGAATCATATAAATCCTTCAAATGATAATTTCAATTACTGTAGTAATTATAAAATTTTCGATTAATCAATAAAAAAATTTAAAAAATGCTTGCTGACGTTCGGTAGTGAGGAAGCAAATTGAAACGGCCTTTTCTGAAGAGAAAGCAGTAAATGTTTAAAACTCAATAACTCTGCAACGAACCGTCCGATTTCGATGATTTTTTTTTTATTTTGTCAGCAATTCAGAAATCTTTTGTCAAAAATTGTGTACTTTTTCAGTTATCGTCAAATAAAATATTGAATTCATCGTAACATTTTTCAGCTTGTTTTCGGGCAAGTATGTTATACACATGAATTAAAAGGGTTTCAAGGGGAAGACTTAAGCCAAGTTTCGTTAAAATCGGTAATGCCGTTTTGGCACTACAGTTTATAGCGACACATTTTTTGCGGCTTTGAACAGAAAAACATTTACATTTTTATTTTTTTTACATATATAAAATTATCGTAAGACAGAAGTACTATGCCAGAAACCTTCCCAGGAGTGTACGGAAAAACTTCTCAAAGTTTCATGGCGATCGGTTGAATGGTTTAGTACTGCAATAAGGACAAACAGACGGACAGACAGACATACATTCATTTTTATATATATAGATATATATATATATATTTAGAATTTCATGAGAACTGAACAGGTAAGAGGTGATTGAACAAGGAAGATTTAAAGTTGGGAAGGGTATTTGAGTGTCGGATGTAGGATGGAATAGAATTTCATAGGAATGAGGATCGAATAATGAAAGATCTGTCGAAAAAAGCAGTTTTGGTACTCTTGTATACAAATCTAAAGACCGGGAACGGATTTTGCAGGAGTGGACAGAGAATTTGAATTGAAGGAACTTGGAGATTTATGAAGGACTGCGGGGTTGGATGACTTGGAAGAGGAAGGATGCTAGATAATACTTACATTGGTAGGAAGGATAAAGCCATTTCAGCTCTTCATAATAACGGGAAACATAAATATATCCAATTATTAAAAATATAATAAACAAGTTCTTGTAAATTTTATTGTTAATTAATAACCAATTATGTTTATCATTTTTACTGCAGTTTAATATAATCAAGAACCTTTATGAAACAAGTTAAATAAGATACTTACTCAACTATATTAGCTAAAGGTCTTGCTTTTCTGGGTGTTCTCTTTGCTGGTACTAAAAAGCATAATAATAAAATTAAACAATAAAAAATAACAATGCTAGGCTTGCTTTAAAATTATAAATAAATGATCCTATATACTTGCGATAAAGGACATGATTAAAAAGTTTAATATTATAATCTTCATACTCAACTGTACTTATTTATAAGAAAAACAATTATGACCCACTTGGAGATATGATGTCTTCTTCCCCGGTGGGATGTCCCCTCTTCCTACCCGTTCTGGTTGGAGTTCTAGCTGAAGTATTTTCTTTTTCATTAACCAAATCTGAAAATAATATTCATCCTGAATGAAATGAAAGTCAAGTAAAATAAATTAACAGCTATGGATGAAATGAAATAACAACTGAAGAAAAACTTGTAAGATTCATTACCTTGTGACGATCCTAATTCATTGTTGTTCATAACCTCTTTCAAAAGTCTGTAAGAATGTCTCACAGGACTCTGGCACTTAGGTGTACACGGAGTAGGAGGAATTCCCTAAAAGCAAGCTCATAATAAAACAAATGACAGTGTTCATCAACTAAAATGATTTTTCCAGAGTTAAAAAAAATATCTGGTGAACACAACACACAACTTTCACTTACTACTCTACTTCGAAAAGCATTCTTGTCAGGCAAAATCGGGCTATTACAAGAATTTTTGAAGCACATTTTTAATGCAGCTAAACTTTAAACAACCTATTTTTGAATTTTGGTCATATTCATCAATACAAAAACTCATTAAGACTGTCAAAATAACAAAAACCCAATTTATAATATCAAATGTAGCCTATGAAAACCTTATATATAACTGAATCACTCTAGTCTGTGGGTACTATGGATTAAGAGAGAATTGAAAGTATAGAATAGAAACATTTTATTATTGGCTTAATATACATCGTAGCCATTGAGTCTGGCCCATTTAGTGTTAGTAGGGATTAGTTTTATAAGTAGAAGTAAATAAGTAAATAAGTATAGTATAAGAAGACAAAAACAAAAATATTTTTATATAACAAAAATCATAAATACTTTTATTATTTCAAATATTTTCATATTTCAAACATGAAGAATTGAAAGTGCATGTATTTAATTATGAATAAGTAAGGATCGTACTACATAGTAAAAATTATAGTTACTAAATCTCTATCACTTTTTATAAGTATTTAAATTCTTATTTTTAATCCTTGGAAAACATACCAAAATACAGTTTTTGATTATAATTGCTTTTAAATATGGCATGGATAGGTCAAACGTCGTCACACTAATTGTAAGTGTATAATGTGCTTTCACAAGGGAATTTAAAAAAAAAAAAAAATTGACAATGTATACCTAATTATTTAAATATAATATCAGATCTAGAGTTATTAAACTACAGTAAATATAGAATTTAGATAGAAAAAAAAAACTTTATTCTGGGACTAAGTCCCTTCAGAATAACAATAATGTACAAAATAATAGAATATTACTGGCCTAAACGTTGAAACAATAAATAAAATTGATAAAATAAAATAAAAAATAAAGAAAACCTTAGGTGCACAAGCTATATACAATACAGATAAAACTATGTACAGAGCATTTAAAATTATGAACAAAACAATTAAAACTATGAACGAATCACTTGAACTATGAACAAAATTATATTTAAGTGTTGAACAACATAAACATACACTTTGAGAAATGAAGAACGAAAAAGAGATGCAATGAGTTCATTTCATAAAAAAAAAACAAAAAAAAAACTTTACTTGAATATATATATATAAAAATAAACAGTTAATTATAATTGAATAAAAAAAAATGTATGTATTGAAATTCCTACGTCGATAGTAGGAAATGCATGTACTATCTCTTACCAAGTGTTATGATTATATGATTGCTACACAATACATATATAATATTAATAGTTAGCTGGTATCTGACTGTTTTTGGAACAGGAATTGGAATAGGAGGTTTTTGAATGTGTACAGGGAAGGGGCATGTCGAATTTTGATCGGGAGGGAATTCCAAAAGTTGACAGAGCGGGCTATAAAGGAATTTTGGAATGAGGCAGATCTATGAGAAGGGATGTATAGGTCAGAGGGTCGGGATCTTGTAGTGAGTGAATGGATTGAGGACTTAAATTGGAGAAGGTTGTAGGCATAAGAAGGACAATGATCGGTAATGATTTGATAAAGGAAAGTGCCAAGGAAATATTGTCTTCTTAAGGAGGGGAAGAGCCACCCTAACTCAGTGTAGTGGTGGGAGACACGGGAGCGTCACGGGGTCCCAATTACAAATCTTACGAAGCAATTCATAAGTCTTTTGAGTCTATCACGCAGTTCCACCGAGAGCCCATCGTACACCACACAGCTGTAGTCAAAGTGGGGAAAGATGAGAGAGGAAACTAGGAGTCTACGGGTATTTCGGGGTAGAAGATGGCGGAAGTGATGGAATAGTTTGAGGGTAGAAATTGCACGGCGGGATATATGAGAGATATGGTGATTCCAGGAAAGGGTTTGATCTATGAGAAAGCCTAAATTTTTAACAAAGGGATAGAAGGTGATGGGGTGGTTGTTTAGATAGAGTGAGGGAAAGTTGGTGTGGGATCTAAGAAGGGGCTTGGAACCAATGAGAATGGCCTGAGTTTTGGCAGCATTTAGCCTTAATCCATTTAAGTTGGCCCAGGCACTAATTCGATCTAAATCTTCTTGAATTTTGGCAAAATATATTTAAGGTTAGAAGCATATGTTTTACACGAACCATGAAATATTTTTAAATTTCACTTCTTTCACACAAGTACATTAAAATAGTTTTTTGAACAATGTCATTGGCTTTATTCAGTGGATTTTAAATACTTTTTTCAAAATTAAAAATTTTTCATTTAGTAAGTAAGTTTCGTTTAATTTCCTTTGAAACATGTGATTTCCATTAAATAATATTAGTTTTCACAAATTATTACTTATAATTGTTCATCACTCTACACTACCTTCTACGAATTTCTATACTAGATATTGCTTTTTCTAAAATTCTTCGCTTTCCAAGAATATATTATATGTATATCTTCTGATTAGTATTTCATGAGATTCATTTTCTTCCTAAATCAACATTTTCCCTTTTTCCTCCATTTTCAAATTATCAAATTCTTTCATACTTTATATTTAGTAATTTTTTAAAAATAAACAAAATCAATGGTACTTCAGAAGATGTATATGAACATTTGGCATTTAAGCCATGTGAAATGAAATCAACACACAAACACACACGCCGCACCCATGTACACACACACCATTTTGTGGGACTTGGTCATGTGGGACTCAGGGGACCTAAAAACGTGTGTTTCTGTTGAAAATTCAGATTCGAAAATTTTCACGATCGCAATACTTTTCCATACTGTATAGGGAATACCTATATACTATTAAATATATAGGTAAGTGAAAGTAAAAATTATGTCATTCGACCAAAAATGGATTAAGCCAATAAAACATTGCAATATTAAAATAAGTAAGTGGTACATGAATCTTTGTTGCTTGCTTCCTTTCCTTGTCACAAATGTTTTATTCCAGAGAATCGCTCAATTCAGGTATAATAACATCATAGAAAAAATAAACAAAAAATATTATTGTTTTTAAAATTTGTTTGACACAATTAATATATTTCATAATAATTGGAATTAAAAGTTCCTTGAGAAATGTGAATTTAGTGAACAATTTTTCTATCACTCAAATAATTTGCTTTAAATAAAGTAATAATAATTGCACTGAGTTTTATTCCATGGCACAGCTTTTATTCATTTAAGATTAAATACTTCAAATTTTAATACAAATGAATATCAATAATCAAAAATAATAAAAAAAGATGAAGAAACTTAACCATGGACTAAAATTTCTGTATTTGAAAAAGTTTGAACCTTGTAAAAACTGCTAAAAATCATATGTAGAAATGACATCAACTGGTACAAAACAAGAAAATATAGCTACAAGAATAACCTAAAACCAAATTCAAAAACAACTATTGTCTTACCCAACCATGCAAAAAATCATAGACAGGAAATAGATTTTGACAATATTAAAATACTCCACAAATCTAACTCCCGATCAAACCTCAAAAAAGGAAGCGGCTAATATAACACAATACTACTCGCATACAATAGCCAATTATAAAACTATATAAAAAAAAAGTGAACAAAATAGAATGTTGGGTAACTTTTAGTTGCTAAATTGATCCATAATATAGATGGTGCTGACAATAAATGTTCAGCATTCATAAGATGGTGTTGGATATATATTTCTATTCAAAGTGGAGTTGTAACTGAAAGTTGTGTGTTGCGCACATGTATGTAACATAAAGAATTGTTAATTTTATTGATTATGTGTTATGTTATAGAGATGAATATGGTGTAGGTCACTGAAAGCCTCTCAAGATGTAAGGTATAAAATAAATAATAATAATTACAGAGACTGTAATTTGTAATAGAATCCTGATCTTCATGAAAGTCTGAATGTTAAATTTACCTCAATAAAAATTACAGACATGACACCATAGTCCACTTAACTTCAAAGTTGTATAAATACAACAAAATGAAATATTTTGAATAGTGATTATTTTTAATTCAATCAGAGGAAACTTCCACTGTTGGTCGTGGGATATATACCCAGGAAACAGAACTGTAAGATCAGAGACCTAATGTAAGAAGTTTTAAGATTAGTTCATATATCATCGACACCATGTTAAAGTAACTAATGTGAATTTCCCTAATATAAAATTTTGATTATGATTATTCTTTACTGCAACATGCACATAACTAACAAAGCTCTAAATTTATAAAAATTACATTTTTTTGTCAAGTTTTGTTGAGTTATGCTGAATAAATCTCTAAGATCCTACATGACTATTATTGTAAGCATTCAGTAATTTTTTAAAAATGATAATTAGCTTTGAGAAGGAGTTGATTGGGAAGGGGGAGGGGAGGGTGCGGTCAAATAAATATTAAATTATAGAAATAGTATTATTTAATTATCATGCCAACGTTTCGACCCACCTTGCATTTGACCGCACCCTCCGATCAACTCCTTCTCATAATATATCATGGTCAACCATCTCTACATCATGATAATTTGCTTACTATTTTGACATACTTATTAGGAATGACTTTACCCCCTTTATTATTATTATTTTTTTTTTTTACTTTTTTATAAGATATTTCTATTGACCTCTCCGTTCAATATTTTACATAAAATTTTTTTCCCTTATTGTTTTCGTTATTTCTAGTTTTTCACACATTGTTTTGTTTGTCCGCTGTCCGCCCATTTTCTCCGAAACTACTGGACCGATTTTTTTTCAAATTTGGATATAAAATCAAAGGTTACCCGAGGATGATCCCCCTTCATCGACATTACTATCCGCCTTTTACTTTCAAAATGGCAGCCAAAAAACATGCGTTGCTGTAGACTGTAGCTCTTAAACGAATGCACCGATTTCAATGAAACTTCGCTAAAGTAATTTTCTTGACACCCTTTAAATTTATCTATATAACATACTTCAACGAAAAGAAGCTGGAAAAAAGTTACGAGGGATGGTAAAATTAAATTCCGAATAACTCAAAAAATATACACTTTTTTGTGGATATTGTATATGGTTTTATAAAAGTTTACGAAATTTCCTAAAAAACAAAAAAAAAAATTGTTAAAATCAGACAATTAGGAGCATATAGTATCTAGTTTTTTGTATGTTCTACTGCAAAGGTTTTATCCTTTGTTTTCGTTTTTGAATTTTGAATGCGTTACTGGAGTAATGTTATTTTTTTTAGCATATTACAAATGTTTAAAAAAAAAAGTTTAGTCCAATAATTGGAATAATCTTTTATTTATTTTTCTTTGTAACTAGGAAGGTAACCTCGCGCGGGCTCATTACCGCGTATGGGGAGCGTCCCACGGGTGGCGGATGTGGGGATGGTCGGTGGAAATTCCTTGGAAGTTCCTCCCGGCTAAGTCCGATGGACTCGCTGACCAACAATGAGAGGGGCCCTCCAGACTTGCTGGAGGGAGGGGACCTCCAGACTTGCTGGAGGTAGGGGCCCACCAGACTTGCTGGAGGGTGTGACGTAGGATTGAACGCCCTACTCACATATCTTTAGTTCACCAAACACCACAAAAAGTCATGGATCTCCCTAAGGTAAAACGCTCATTATCCGGAGGTAAACTAGTCCCCCGTTCGGGTCTCCGGGTGGGGACTGCTTTAGGGGATTCATGGCGCAAGTTGAAATATAGGGATTTAAATATTGGTACGTGGAACGTAAGGAGTTTAAACACAGCAGGGGGGCTAAAATCGGTCGCGAATGAGGTAAATGGGTACAATTTGGATGTCGTGGCTCTGCAAGAGGTTCGCTGGCCAGGGGAGGGCTCGATGAGGGAAGGGAAGTACACTATTTGGTACGGAGGAAGCGGGAATCATTGTTTAGGTACCGGGTTTCTAATTAGGCGTAGATTACTATCTGCTTTGAGGGACGTACAATTCTTTAGTGATAGAATTTCGGTAGCTACATTTCAGGGACGTTGGTTTAAAATCGCATTAATAAACATACATTGTCCGACCGAAGACAGTGACGATGAAGTCAAAAGTGAATTTTACGATAAACTCGAATGGGTTTATGATAAACTACCACGAAACTACATGAAAATAATTGTAGGTGACGCGAACGCAAAGGTAGGAAGGGAAGAAGTTTATATTCCGACGATTGGTAAAGAAAGTTTGCACGAATATAGTAATGATAATGGGATCCGTCTGATAAACTTTGCCATCTCGAAAAACCTGATAATTAAAAGTACGACGTTTAAACATAAGGATATTCATAAATATACTTGGACATCACCGGATTCGCAAACACGAAATCAAATCGATCATGTCTTGATACAACACAGCTGGCAAAGCAGTATAATTAATGTACGGTCTTATCGCGGAGCAGAATGTGGGTCGGATCATGAATTAGTAATCGCGAAACTTCGACAAAAACTTAATATAAAAAAGAGAAAAGAAAACCGTTTCGATTTTGAGAATTTTAATTTGGAAAAATTAAAAAATCCATCAATTAGAAACCAATTCGAGCTAGATGTTAAGAATAGGTTTGAAGCTTTAGAGCTTCCTGACGAGGACCACGAGGATATTGACAAGTTATGGATAGAGATTAGAGATAATATTAAAGCGGTCGGTAACTCGTGTCTAGGAAAAAAGGAAAATAAGAATAACAAACCGTGGTTTGATGAAGATTGCTTAAACATGTGTGAAAAAAGAAAAGCCGCTAAATTAAAAGCTCTAAATAATCCTAGCGAAGACAATCTGGAATACTTCCGAATCTCAAAGAACGAAACGACAAAATTGCTCAAAAATAAAAAAAGGGAGTATCTTAAAAATAAAATAATTGAAATAGAAACTAATAGAATTGAAAATAACGTAAGAGAAATGTACAAAGGTATAAACAGATCACGTAAATATGTAGGGCCCGTAACGTCTGGAATTAGGGATGATAATAACAATATTCTGACCGATCCGGTGGACATATTGAATAAGTTTAAGGACCACTTTGACAATATTTTAAATACGGTAAATTATGATCTGTGTCCTCCTTCTGAGTACCAGAGTGCTGAACCATTAATAGAAGGACCAAGTAAAGAGGAAGTTGAAGTAGCTATCGGAAAATTAAAATCATATAAAGCAGCGGGAATTGATAATATTCCTACTGAACTAATTAAGGCATGCGGAGAAGCTGGAGTTTCTAAAATACATCGGTTGGTTAAAAAGATCTGGGTGAACGAGAAATTACCTGAAGAATGGAAAGAATCTATTCTTATTCCGATTCACAAAAAGGGTCCGAGGACGGATTGTAATAACTATCGAGGAATTTCACTGCTTCCGGTATGTTATAAAATATTCACTTTAATCCTAACCAGTCGAATCACGGAATACGCCGAGGAAATTATCGGAGACTACCAATGCGGATTTAGACGGAATCGTTCGACTATTGATCAAATATTTTCTTTACGGCAAATATTAGAGAAAAAATTGGAGTATAACGGTATTGTTCACCAGCTGTATATAGATTTTAAAAAGGCTTACGATTCTATTGACCGCCAGAAACTGTATAATATTCTAATCGAGCAGGGAATTCCAAAAAAACTAGTAAATCTAGTCAGGATGTGCTTGACGGAGACACTCAATAAAGTTAGAATCGGTAATAATTTGTCCGAAAAATTTGAGGTTCGTTCGGGCTTAAAACAGGGGGATTCTCTTTCGCCTGTCCTGTTCAATTTGGCATTAGAACATGCCATTAGGGAAGTAATGCGAACCGAGAAAGGGTTGGATCTGGGCGGGACAACATCCGTGCTGGGCTATGCTGATGATCTGGTACTGTTAAGCGAAGACGTTGAAACTATAAAACTAAATACGACAACGTTAATGAAAGCCGGTAAAGAACTAGGACTCGAATTAAACGTGGATAAAACAAAATATATGGTTAGCTGCAAAAATGGCGATACTACTGGTGATATCGATATAGATGGTAATATGTTTGAACAGGTAGATAAATTTAGGTATCTAGGTTCTACGATAACTAGAAAAAACGAAATTGAAGAAGAGATTAAGGTTAGACTGAAGGCGGGGAATGCTTGTTATTTTTCTGTGACAAAACTACTTAGTTCGCGCCTCTTGTCCCGAAACTTAAAAATTAGAATCTATAAAACAATTATCTTGCCTACAGTTCTTTATGGATGCGAAACTTGGCCGCTTACATTAAGGGATGAGCAGCGTCTTAAGGTTTTTGAAAATAAAGTATTGCGTAGAATATTCGGACCAAAGAAGGATGAGTTAACCGGAGAGTTCAGACGGTTGCACAACGCCGAATTGCGTGAGATGTATCCGGGTAATATAATTGAGGTAATTTCATCGCGGCGAATCAAATGGGCTTGTAAAGTTGTTGGGCTTAGTAACGAGAGAATTCCTAAAAGGTTAATATTTGCTGTGCCGAATGGTAAGCGTCCGAGGGGAAGACCGAAGCGAAGGTGGGATGATTGCATTAAAGCCGATCTGAAGGGACTGGGCTTGGACGGCGAACGGTGGAGGGAGGTGTGTAACAAGCGATTGGTGGTGTCGGCATCGAACCTTCGGGTTCGCTAAGCCTTATTATTATTATTAACTAGGAAGGTAATGTTACTTTAGATGTATAGTTGTTTGGAAATAGTAAACCATTGTGAAATAATTTGCAGTGTTTTATATAACACGCCTATGATTAGAAATTTAAATATTTCTATTATTTTATCAATTTTCTATAGATTTAAAGTAATATTGTGAGTATAGTTGGACAAAATGGAAAAGCCATCTCAAAGATGACATGCGACTACTTATGCTACATATAGAAGTGTGACAACTGGAGTGTTAACGAGGTTCGACAATAATATTAACCAAAAAGTAATACAAATCTCATACTTAAATTATCTAAAATTAAAACAAAATGTATAAATACCTGAATCTTATACCTCAACCTAGACTGTGTACTAAGCCTTAATGGGAGCCCTTGTTTACATCTATTTAACAGAAGAAGATAAGTTGCTGTATCATAATCATAGTCCCATTTATTAATTCTCTCCCAAATTTCTTCACTTTCTATCATATGATACTTTCCGAGGGCATTTAAAACTTCATTATTTTTTTCATGGTACTAAAACAGAATTACTACAATAATATTAAAAGCTATGGTAATGTTGTTATGACATATTACATGGGTGATTCACACAGTGATCAATTCATCCACGAGAGGAGGAAATGGGGAATTTTCCACTACCTAACTAACCATTTAAAACCAAATATATATCTGTTTAAAAAATACCAACATAATTAACGGTGAATAAATTATTCATCAGGTAATATTCGATTTATTACAATTTATCCCATAGACAAGGTTATGCTTCCACTAAATTCTGAGACATTCTAAATGAAAACAATGACATACAAGACTGTATGATATAGAAGCTGATGTATTAATATTAAAAATTAAAAAAAAAAAAAATAAGTTCTAGCAAAAATACTTTTGAAACATTTGTCATAATTCAAGAAATGAAGATAAAATAACGCAGGTATTAAGACATAAACAATTAGTTTTGTTAAGTGAGGCATTGCAAAACTCTTTCATTGAATAAAACTACTAAAGAAGCTTATGTATTAAAATTTATAATGTTTACAGCTTAAAATTCATGTATTTAACTTTAAAAGACAAAAAAAATGAACATTTCAAAATTACTAGAATTAATTTTATTTAGCAATGCAAATATTGGATTTTCTGATAAAGATAATCATGTATATAACATATTGCTTTATCATATCACAAAATTAATTCACAATTTGAACTATCTAAATTATAAAAATAATTATATAAAAACTAAGTTTTAATTTTTTAACAAGGAACTTAAGCTTAAGTTTTTTGACATTTATTATTTTTAATTGAAATCACAGCATATTAACCCAAATCATTTCTTAACTACTACTTCTACAGCTAAGTTAGAACATGAGAAATATTTTCATTTATATATATGTAATGCACTATATATTGTGTATAAAAATATATATCTATTTATATTTAATAGTCTTAATTTATATTTAATTAATCACCACTCAAAAAAGTATCTATTTTCCAAATTCCATCAGAACCTTATAAATCATCCGAATCCCCTAGCACAATCCCTATCTAGTTCCACTCATCCCTACAATCCTCCTCGAAGGTTGAAGCAGCAGTGGCTCAGAGATTTATTGTAGTATATATGTTGGAGTTCTGGCAATGGCCAGATTCTCCACTTAAGACATGAGTGTATGTGGCTAAAGCGCTATCGCTCAAACTCCACTGGCTTAAGCAGCAGTGATGCGGTTGAGAGAGTAGCACAGGGATTTCTTGAAGTCCTGTTTTTCCTTCTATAGTTGGAAGGAAAAGCCTGGCTTGGGGTTCCCTGCCTGTTTGTATATAAGTATGACTGTGTTTTTAATTTACTTATCTTTAGGTTATTTTATTTTTTATTGTACACAGTTATTTATTATTTTACTTTTGTTAATTTTATATTTTCTGTATATATATATATATATATATATATGGTATGAATGTGTTATATCATATATCACTATAATTATTGTCCACGTGACAGATTGTTATATTTTAAAATAAATAAATAAATAAAATAATATTTGTGATCACAATTTAAATCCAATTATTATATAAAGTAGAAAAAAAACATATAATTCAAAAATTTAATACTCTATTTTGCAGATTCTCATGATAATTTTCTTCTATTTTGTTACATTAAGTATATACAATTATAAACGTTGTTATCACTGTTCTCGATAACTTCTTAATATTACACTCACAACTTTGTATGGATTCTTGTTTTTATCCACTTTGAGCGTGCCGATCTTGGTCAGGGTAGTTTGTCCATAGTATCTACAGCCTTAGTAGCGGTACGTAGTGGGCCAGACCTCCATACCATGCACTCTTCCCACATCCCCATAAATTGCATATCATGTTCCTTGGAATTACTTATTTAAAAAAGCCAATGGACCCACAAAAAAAAAATGAAAACACTTTTCCAAAATGGCGGATTGACAATTTTTACTTCAGTTAGTTTTTCGTTCACTGAGATTCCGCATTTGTTTTAATTTCTTCATAATTGGCATTTTATTAAAGCTGAATAGGCAGAGAATAATAACACATGAAAATTGGTTTAGTCAATAATCTCACTAGTAAAGTCAATTTATTCAAGCTAATGTTGAAAATCAAGCATCATTTGTAAATAAACGGCCAAAATAACAAAAAATCCGTAAGCGAAAGGTCAGAAGATTAGGGCAGATGTGGCAGAGTTCATAAGAAAGCTCCAACCGTTTATGTGATGTCACACGTGAGGCATGTGGCCGGGCGTTATGCAACAAAATGGGCCCTTTCTGATTGACCACAGCATTAATTTGGTTACAATACGATTCGGCATTGATGGTTTCTCCAGGATTTAAGAAGCTGTAGAGTATCAAACCAAATGAAGCCCACCAAACAGTAACCATCACCTTCTATATATGAGTTGAGGACTTTGGAAAATGTTCTGCTGCTTCTCCTTTGTCGAGCCACTGTCCAGAACGTCTATTATTATCATAAAGTATCCAATTTTCATCAAAAATAACAATTCTAGACAGAAAAGGGTCGTTGTTCCAGCAAAGAAGTGTAGTACAAACTTTATAACGCTGGATTTTTGGCGGTTGTTTAATGTGTGTGGAACCAAAATTTCAAGCTTTTTTATCTTTCCAATCACCTTGAGGTGGCCATCGACAGTCGATTTGCTAAGGTGAAGTTTCATTGCAAGTTCTTGAACTATTGTTCTGGAGTTTTCTTCCACCAAAGCCCGAAGATAATCATCATCAAGAGAAGAAGTCCTTCCAAGACCTGCTTTATCTTCAAGGATGAAGTCTCCCTCCTGAAATTTTTTGAACCACCGTTGAACAGTGCACTCATTAATGCTGCTCTCGTCCCAGACTCGATTGATGTTTATGGCCGTCTGGGCCTCATTTCAGCCAAGTTTAAACTAATAAAACAAAATTATACGAAAATCACACATTGACATCTTAGTAAAAACTAAATTATTTCTAAACAGCGAGATGTAGCAGAGGTGATGCTACATTATCGTTTGGAAGAGTATTGATAAGTGTTGACATTCATATATCACGTATATTTTTTTTTTTTCATTTTTATTATATGAAAAATGTAATTTAAACTCATATAAATTTATTATGGCATTCTCTATTATGATTTTAATTACAATTAAATTGATTTCATTAAATTACAATAATTAATCAATTATTAAAAAAATAATTTAATTTCTAAGGTTTCTTTTTTATATTTACTGTTTTAAAGCAGTTTTTATTTTTTTCATTGTTTGCTTATTATTATTTTGTATTGGAGATTATATTTGATTTATTGGTATTCATTTTATGACATGTATTATTTAATTTCTTGATTTCAAATATATGTCTATTATCTACTATTCGGCATTTATTTTTTTCCTTTTTATAATTTTTTTTATTATTACTTAATTTTGCAAGGTACTAGTGCTATGGATAAGGTGAGCAGACTTGGTGATTAATTTTTAGAATAACTGCTACTTCCACAACATGAATATTGATTATATGTAAATATACTTACCAAATTTAAACTATTATGAGTAACAGGATCTAGACATCCCATTGTAATCCATTGATGAGAAAGTAATTCATCTACAGTAATTCTTTCTTTTGGGTCAACTTGTAACATATCTCTTATAATCTTCCTGCTTTCTTCTGATAACCAAGAAGGTTCGGAATACTTCCCTGACTGAAAGGAAAAAAATAATGAAATAGTTCAGTTGATCACTACTTTATAGCTCAAATAATCATTAAATACACAGTGTCTTTACTGTCAATATCTTCATTGTAAAAAAACCCCTACAACCCATGAAGAGTCTTTACACGGTGGGCCAGAGTCCCCTACTGTGCACTCTCCCCCATGTCCTCATCCCTATAAATTGCATATTGTGTTCTCTGTAACTATTTATTTAAAAAAAGCCAATGTTCACACAAAAAAAAGTTAACGCACTGCCCCAAAATGGCGTCCAAACAAGGCGGACTGACGACTTTGACTTTAATTAGTTTTTTGGTCACTGTGAATCAACATTTGACTTATTTCCATCATAGTTTGTCTGTTATTAAAGCTAGATAGTCAGAGAATAATAAAATATTAAAAAATAATTGGCTTAGACAATAAAAAACAATAGTAGAGTCAATTTTTTTAACAAAAAAATTTTCAAGTTGAAAATCAAGCGTCGTTTGTAATTAAATGACCAACAATAACGAAAAATGCACTTAAATAAAACATCTAGAGAATATATTCCTCTTTCTAAAATACTGATTACTTTTTAAAATATTTGAAGCAGTTCCGTGGAAAATGCACTTAAGCGGCAGAAAAGTGGTACTGGTGTATGTGGCTACAGATCTGTACCACGCCATTCAGTACTCATAAATGGCTTATTTACAGTGCTGTAATAACGTTTTTGGTACATTATATTGATTCTAATAACAAATAAATATTAATGCGAATCATTTAAGTGAACAAAAAAATTAACAATTTTTTTCAAATTTATTATTTTAAATTATTTTTTAATTTAACTTCCTTTATTCTACATTACATTTACAATTTAAAATTTTGTTTTTTATGTTCTTAGAAGTAATTTAAATTGTATAAACTAAAGGAGTCATATTAATACCTGTTTTATAAACTAAAATAATATATACCAAATCTGAACTACATATAATGAATAGTTGATGGGTTGTTTAGTAAAACTCATATCTCAATAATAAAAAAATTAATTTTTATTTCCTTTATTTTGTTCCTGTACAAGGAAATTTGAATATTGAATGCATCATTCTCTCTGCACAAAGAAAGATGGAAAGGGTGAAGCTATAATTCTTCTAGGTAACCTAAGATGCTGCTAAAATGCTGGAGGATTTTGGATGATATTAAGGGGACGATGCAAGTTTATTATGGTGAAGACCATATTATCAGCAAGAAATATTTTTTCAAAGCAATTGGCAAGTCAGTTGGTCTAGACAAAGTAAACCGAACTGCTGGGCGTACATAGGCAAGAAATGTATTAGAAAATTATATGAAAGGACTGTAGTTTTGTTCCTTTACAAGAAAGGAGATACAAAGAAATGTAATACCTATTGAGATTCATTCCTGTGTAGCGTACCAAAGAAACTCTACTCAAGAATCATAGAAGCTAGAATTAGAATAAGAAATTTGTCGATTGCCAGAGCAATATGGATTGAGAAAATCAAGCTTCACATTAGAACAGAAGTTGCAAATTGGGACTGTCTTCCCTTTAAGGCAAGTTATAGAGAAGTCCATAAAGAAAAAAACAGCTCTCTGCACACTTTGGATTGTGCTAATATTTACTAGTCTTTCAAAAAATCTTGTTTTACTTTCAGATACCTTCAAAAGTATTTTGCAAATGCACTAAACAGAAGAAGATCTATGGAGACCTCTCAATAACCTATTTCAAAGTGAAGATAGTCCCAATGTGCAACTTCAGTAGCAATAAAAAATAAAGTGTTTTTCACCATAATAAACCTAGTTTACTTTGTCCAGACCTGCTGACTTGACAATTGCTTCGGAAAGATCTTTCTTGCTAAAATGATCTTCACCATAATAAACCTGCATCGTCCTCTTAATATCATCCAAACTGCTCTAGCATTTTAACCCCTTTTAGCAAATTCTTGAAATATTCTGTTCATCTGTCTACTATATATTCGTTTAGCCATATAATGGATACTGATCCTTGTTTTCTTTTCCGAGATTTTGGCACTTCCTTTCTCGTCCGCTTAGTGTATTTTTCCAATTTTTGGTTTCAATTTCGCATTTTCCCTCATTTTGAGACCAAATACTAACAATCAGTTCCGGTTACCTAGAAGAACTTATAGCTTCGCCGTTTCCATCTTTCTTTGTACAGAGAGAATAATGCATTCAATATTAAAATTTTCTACTTTTGTATGATATGGTCCAACTTCCAAACAAAATAAAGAAAATAAAAATTATTTGTTCTTGTTTACTCTTGTAAAACTTCAGAGATCATGAACACCAGTTTTTCCTATTTAATTTAATATCTTATACATTTTTAATTTATACACATACACACATGCATGCAAATACCCACACATAAATACATACATATTCATAATTTTTTTAAACTTTCCATTCTTGTAATCTACTGTCAGTTGTGTATCATAATTCAGATATCAAGTTAATTGATTTAAAAATTTTAAGGATCAACTCTACAGTTGTGTCATCTCCAATAGTTAATAATTAATGCTATTATCGGTTTCTTTTTCAATGGGTTTGATTAATTCTGATGGAATAGCTTTACTAAAAAAAATTATTTACTTTATCAAGGGAATGCTGGCACCTCTCTTGCAGCTCTATTAGTTCATTTTTATTATTTCTACATGACTTGGAACTTTTACAGATATACCTGGGTTTAGCAAAGTGCTTAGATAGATCGAATGTCAGGAATTTTTGGGTGTTGCGGATACATATAATCTAGGCTCCTTAAGGAGCTTAAAGAGTTTGCAATTAATAGTCTATTGTGATGGTTTGAAAATGTACAGAAACAAAGTGCTGCTGCAATTGCATTAAGTATCAAAAAACCATCGAATCTTAACATTTTTCTCCAATTACAAAGAAAGATTCCTGATTTCCCCTTCCAGTCAAATAATTATTCAGAGAAATAGCTTCAAGTGAATGATGCTATACTACACATTGCTAGTTTCTTCTGAATATGAAAAATCGCTAGAAAAGTCGCACATTTACAATTGGTTTTCTCTGTGCTGTTCACCAAAACAAAATGGAGATCATACAGCTTCTAGTAATTAGATAACTTTCGTTTGTGTTTTTGACTTTAATGTCAAATAATTTTGATACAGAAGCTAAACAAAGAAGATTGAGTATTATTGCAATGTTGATTTCTTTAATTCATTGTTTCTTTACAATAAAAAAAAATCTACTTAAGCCTTAGAGCAATTAATTGTCTTTATGGAGATACCTTTTGAGTTTATCATACCGAACAATTGTTGGTCTCATCGGGTAAATGACTGTCTCTTTTATACCAACTCTTCCGAATCCTGTGAAAAGCTACACCAAAAAAATTATTAACAAGAATTATGGGAGAATCCTGAGACTGGAAAACCACTTCACAATTCAAAAAATGTTTATTTTCAACATCATGAGTGTAAAAGGTGAACATCAGATATGAAAATTTAATGTTTGTAAGGATTTTATGATCATATAATAATTTAAGTTGAATTGAGTATGGCTATCCAGAACAGCTCCCCTTTTGGACCACTAAACAAACTTATAATGACCTAACAAACAAAAATTATTAAAAATTGAAAAAAACATTGGAGAGGTGAAGTGGTTTTCAATCTCAGGAATCCCTAGTAAATTGCTAACCTTTAACTAAAGCATAAATATACCACAATTTACAAACATATTATATTGGAAATTATAATTAATATATAACTGAGCATTACCAAAATTTTTTTGTATAAATTTTCAATGTTATCACAATCAAATGGCAGAAATCCACAGAGCAATGCATATAGAAGTACTCCCAAACTCCATACATCAACCTTACCACCTGAAATTGGCAAAATCATTACTAACAAAGCAATGAGAATTAACATACTATTAAAGTCATCAAAATATTACCAATGTATTGATGTCCTTTTATGAGTTCTGGAGCAGCATAAGTTGGGGATCCACAAGAAGTTTGTAAATGTGAAGACATGCCACCAACAGGTTTGGCACACAACCCAAAGTCAATCAGTTTCAAATTCAAATCTCTATCCAACAATATATTTTCCTAAACAATTAATTGATGAATTTTAATTTGATCATGAAATGACAAAAAATGTATTAGAGATATATTGGGCATTTTTATTGTCAAATTGAAGGAATAGTCTACATTTGAAGAATCAAATTAAATAAACAAAGTATTTTGCCGTGCACATAACTCAACTTTAAACAGCAATAAGAGTTAAATCATCATTGCAACAAAAATATCTTGAAAGTAAACTACTTACTGGTTTTAAGTCTCTATGAACGTAGCCAACATTATGCAAATAAGCAACAGCAGACAGAATTTGACGAAAGAATAACCGGGCTTCGAATTCAGAGAGTTTGTTTTTTTCAACTGAAAACATAATAATAATTTAAAAAACTAATAAAAATTTCACACATAATGCAATGGAAATTAGTATATACTGGTAGCTTTACCTATATGATCAAACAATTCTCCTCCAGAACAATATTCCATTACAATGAAAAAATGTTCTTTAGTTTCAATTACTTGGTATAATTTACAAATATGATGGTGTGAAATATCTTTTAGCGCTTCCAATTCCATCTTTATCCTTGGGCAACCATCCTAAAATAGAATTCAGGGGGTGATTGTTAAATTCCCACACAAACTGTAGAATAAGCACCATAATACAATTAACATGTAATGGTGAGTTTAGATATTTCCTTTTAACTATGGAAAACAACTATTTAACATAACTAACAACATTATTGCTAAACCAACCTATTTATTTTAATTCTCTTGATACCAACAGCAGATGGAAAATATAAAAACAAAAAAGAAGCAAAAATACTAGTATAGTGAAATAACTATTTACATATTTTTTTGCCGCATAGTTTGTGAAATGTCTGAACGCACCTTTGCATGTTTATTGTATTTTTCATAACTCATTTGATGACTAGGAATGATATTCAGTGTTACAATTATGGGATGTGATAACACTTCAACTACATATTACAATACTCATAATACTACTTGTACAATGAGTTGTCAAATCAAATCATATTTAAAATCTCTCCCACTTACCCCAATTAAGCTTTTATTCATTATTTTAATAGCTACTTTTTCTCCAGTAAGTAAATGCGTAGCTAACTTTACTTTGGCAAATCCTCCAGTACCAATTGTTTTCTCAACATCATATAAATATTTTAAGGCGTTATATTTCACCATTTTTATTTTTTAAATTAAAAATTTTACCACGAAACATAAACTTAAGAAAAATTAATCAACTGCAAAACCTGTCAAAACCATTAATTCAAAGAACGACGTTATATTTTGAACTTCAAATGCTAACCGACATAGGAGGTTTGAATAATGCCGTTATAAACATTAATAAGTTTCGCCAACGTCTGTGTCAGTTGAAAGAAAAAATACTTACGAGATAATTAAATTTTTTAATAGTAATTTCGAATTTACGAAATTATGTTAAAATTTATCTTACAGAATAAATTCATAAGTTTAAAAATATTTCTGATCTACATGTCACATAGCCCCCCCCCGTTCTATAAAATTGTGTTACTTTTCATATAAACGTAGACAAATATTTAAATTTTCATATAATTTCACCATTTTTGTATGATCATATTTATTTCTCTTGATACCTACAGCAGATTGAAAATATCAAAAACAAGAAGCAAATATACTTGCATAGTGAAATAACCATAAGTGCACCATTTGCAATTTTTGCACAATGCTTAAGGAAATTTCTTTAAACTTCTACGTGTAAAAACTTATTTATTGATGTTATTATATTTTTCATAGATTCATCTTATAGAACTATTTCTCACTTTAACAAGACCTATTTCAAATCCATGAAATATTTATTTAAATTTAAAAAGATTGAAAGTTAAGAGAATAGTTTTGCTGTACCAGTAGCTTACACTGTTTGATTTGAAATGTTCCTATAGCTGACAGAGATAAGAAAGAGGATGTTAATTTTCACTTTAAGATTAACAAAAATTACATTTAACTTATTATAAAACTTCTTGCATTTTTCGACATAAATTTATCAATAAATGCAGGCCACTGTCAAGAATCTGTTTTTGGCAATAGAAAAACCTATTTTTGCTTTATATATTTAAACCAAAACATTAACAACTTTTTTTTTTAATGATACAATAGTCAATGATCCCATTTTTAAGGCCTGTTATATTTAGTATATTTCTTTGAATTTATTAGAGTACAGGCATATCAACTACTGGCAAAAGTCCCCATTATAAGGCTCTAGTAGCTGACACGCATTAAATATCCAATTCCTTCATCAAGATAAGTTAAAAACAGACAAAACATAATCTAAAAACATTCCAAAAACGATCAAACAACAATTTTGGGATAAATCAGAGTAATTAAAGAGAAAAAGACAAACCTAAGTTATTTTGCTCTTACTGACAGATGGTTGTTCCTGGGACAATAAGTGGACCACCAGGAACCTTCCTAATTTGCCATTCATTATTTCAGTTGCAATTTTTGACAAGACTGAAGCAAAGCTGACAAAAATACAAGGAGGAAATATATGAAACTAAAAATTTATGAAATAGAGGTCTAGGAGGTCCTGAAATTTTATTATTACCATGTTTTGAGGAGGGTGTCAGGTATTGGTGCTTTTACCCTATATATTTGTTTATTCCTTAGTTTGTGCAATGTCTGAACTCACCTTTAATTTTCAATTATAAATTATTCATTACTCTTAAAACAAAAAACATACGATTAAGTGCAAAGGTTCTTTAAAAGTAATATGAGGAAGGAGATGGTCCAGGATGGCAGTCATCAGTATACTAATATAGTCTATAATAATATTTTATTGAAAAAAAAAATACATTTTGCCTCAATTAAGGGCATTGAGTATTTAGGATGAATGAAACACCACCATATATACAATAAAAGAAAAACAAGATCATAACAGAAGAAAAGAAAAGGAAACTTGGAATAACAGAATAAATCAAACATGAGACAATATTAAATAAATAAATAAAAAAAACATCCATACTTATTTACAATATTTACAGTCAGCTGAGGGAGCTCCTAGTCGGGCCTTTTCCTCCACGCATGGAGGATAAGGCAAGACCCTAAGAGATCCCAGCACTTCTCTCTCAGCCGCATCACTAGGATTAAAATAGTGAAAAAAATATTATATTTCAAGGCAGTGTTTCGATCCGACATTGCAGGTCTTCTTCAGGGGGGGAGGAGTAAATATCATGGTGATAAATAGTAAGGTTGCAGTCATTGTGAATGTTTTTTTATTGATGCCAACGTTTCAACCCAAGCATGCTTGTTATTGATAAATGCATGCACATTAATTAAAAAGTTCTATCTTGAGATTTAATAGTTTTAGAGCTGGGTATTCAAGTCATCTGATGAGTATGCTTGGAGTGACGTAGCAATAATATTTTCTATAGCTAAATATTGATAGTTTCAATCTAGAGAAAAAATTTAAAAAATAGTATTATGTCTGTTTTTTTGGATTTTGGGACAAGTGTATCTCTGTGTGACTTAGCCTATGGGAAACCAGCTATATTACAAGTAAGACTATGTTGGGGATGCTGCACCAATAATATTTAATTTTTAAGAGAAGGAGTTAATTGGGGGGCGCGGTCAAATAAATACTAAATTAAAATATAGTATTTATTTAATTTTTTCCAACGTTTCGATCCACTTTGCAGGTCGTCTCCAGGGCTACAAAAGATACAAAACATGTTGAAAATAAAAAATAAATATAAATAGATATAAAATAAGAAGAAGTTGTCAGATACAGAAATAAAAAGATGATATCAGAGATATAGTGGGTTACAATGTAGTTAAAATATTAAGTATTATATATGTAGAAGATACAATTTTCATAGATATAATTTTCATACTTATTTTCAATTTGTTTGTATCTTCTACATATATAATACTTAATATTTTACCTACATTGTAACCCACTATATCTCTGATATCATCTTTTTATTTCTGTATCTGACAACTTCTTCTAATTTTATATCTATTTATATTTATTTTTTATTTTCAACATGTTTTGTATCTTTTTTAGCCCTGAAGGTGACCTGCAAAGTGGGTCGAAACGTCGGCAAAAATTAAATAAATACTATATTTTAATTTAGTATTTATTTGACCACACTCCCCTCCCCCCAATTAACTCCTTCTCATATTATATCAATGTTCAACCATCCCTACATCATTTAATTTTTAAGATCAACATTGTCAATAAACTTTCTCAAATTTCATAAATTTATGTTTATTAGTTATAAATGAAAAAAATAATTAAAATTAATCCAATTCAAGATTTTATTTGGTTTATATATGTTGCTAATTTTGGGTGTTAGGATTAGAAGTAAAATAATTGGTGGATGAAAATATGTAGACAGTGATTAGTGGTATTAGTATCAAACCTTTAGGTTCGTGAAGCCTTTTATTATTCTTATTATATCCATTGAATCAAAATTTGTAAAGATTCTAATATATCACCCCTTTAAGAAGCTGCAAACATTTTTTTAATGTGATAAAGATGTCATGAACATCTTATAGCATGAAAAGGGTACTTGATAAAAAAAGTGAAGAACAACTGCTTTAGAGATCAAATTGGTTGGGGATTTCATGCTAAGCTCCATGATTTAGGATAGAACATTAGTCCACATGTCCCTGTTGTGGTTTTAATTGCTGAACATGTTGCTAGACCCTGCACTGATTTTGATACAATAAGGGCCAAACTACTGAGGAAAACAGGACAGTAGTTCATCGCACAAGGCAATTTCCTTAGCTGGACAGAGTAGAAAACTATTCAGTGAAGCTTTCATGTATGGGTGAAAGGAATTAGTTGGGAAAAAATATTTTAATCTCCTTCAATGGATAGGAACATTATTAGGAGATAGGAAGAATGAAGGATTATGAAAAGAAATAATAGAAGTGAAATGCACTACTTCTGATGTAAAAATTTATTGCTGAAAACAGAAGGAAGATGCTAATAAATCAATAATGATTTAGAGATTAATTATATTTCACTCAAGCAACCATTTCTTTTTTTTTTTTTTTTTTTTTTTTTGTTTATGCTACATGATGTTTTTTTTATTGGTTTAAATGCTGGAATTATTTTATAAATATATATATTTTTAATTTTTGGCATGACATGCCAATAATGAATGAAAGGCCAAGTTCAAGAATAAACAGAGAATTTGTAAATCAAACTAATCACTTCATTTAGGAGCTTGAAAGATCAGTAGTATGTGTATGGGAGAGAAATGGACAGAAATAAAACTACACCTCTAGATTTGTTCTTTTTCCCATCGTATTCAAATGAAATCTTTTCAACAAATATTTTAGTTATTTGTACTCATAATGAAGGTAGAGGTTGCATATAGATAAATGTATTTCTGGAACTCATTGGCTCATTGATAAACGTATAATTAAACATTTTATGTCTAAGTATTATTCAGAGTTTCCTATTAATTTGTAATGAAAACAATTTTTTTTTTTTCTATGCGGTTCTTTTTTCGACAAACTATTTTAAAATTATTTTGATTTGTTATTTATCATTATGAAATTAATGAGTTAGAAATAGTTTTATCAAATGCAGACATCCCATACATCTTTTAATAGTTTATGGGCCATTTTAAAATTTTTGTCCTATTTATTAGTAGTTATAAAATTGGTTTAGAATCTTTATTGGTAATTATAACATTTGAGTCCAAAATCATTGGAGAACCATTCACTTAACTTTAAAGTGAGTCTTACAAACATTGTATTTGATCAATCAAAATTATTGCATGCATGATCAAAAAATTTCATCTAACAATCACAATGGAAGAACTACTGTTTTACATTGTACTTTTAATATAATTTTATAAATAATGCTGCAATTTAATCACTTTTGTTTTTAATGTTTTAGTTAAGTAAATACTATAATATGACTGTTTCGAGCATGCTTCAATATTTCATTCATTCAAATATTGAAGAAAGTTTTATCATGCCATCAATATTTTATAGATGCACTACCAACTAACTTAACTGTGGAGTTAATTTATTGATCTGAAATAGCATAATTTGGATTGTGAGAGAATAGGTACTGGTGTATGTTACTACCAACCTATCAATTCCTACTGAGTCAGTTTTTTGTAGGATGAAATGTTGAACGAATTACCTAATTGGAATCATAAAATTTATCAGTCCAAGAAGATAATCAACACTCCATAGATTATATTAATTTAATATTTAAATAATTATAAGTTTGTAACAGTTTATTTGTTATTTGTTCTATTTTGTACATGAATTGTTAAAAATAATAACATTATGAATCATGTATTTTGAACGGTTGAATACAATGAACTTATTTTCTAAATTATCAACAACTAGTAAAAAAAACAAAAACATTATTCATGTATTGTTCTTAAAGTTAATAAAGTAGATATGAAAGTATTAAATTACCATATTTTTTCTCTTATTCGCAATAGAGGCTGGGTTCTTAAGATTATAAATTGTACAAAAATATTATTTATTCTAGATCTAGCCTCTTTATTCATCAATTTTCATTTCCCTTATTATAATATAAATAAATATTTAAAAAAGAGAAGCTCAATGAGGCTATTGAAAATTCTAAAGATTCATTTATGGATTGCTGTTAGCAAATCAATTTCAGTTATGGAATGATGAATATTTGGATTATCATTAATAATAAAAGTTTGTCAAAATATTATAATAGGGAAGGAGATAAGGGCCTATGGCATAGCCCCTCTTAGTTGTCCCCAGAGGAGCCCAGAATGGGGTTTGATAGCACAACTTGTCCCATCAAAATTTTGGAGGGGGTTACATTTCGGCAGTTTTATGAATTTCTGGAATGAAAATTTTTATACTAAGGGACAAGGAGAAAACGTGGAATAGACTGCAGCAAGTGTAATTGTATATGATCTACAAATTTTCTAATTCTACCTTCACTTGCTTTGTTTTTAGCTGTGAGCAATAAAATAAATTGGGAGTGGAGGGGAAGAGGGGGGAGGGAGAAGGATATGTTCTTGCGTCATCGATCTTGGGAAGGAGGAGGATATGCACCACAGGTTGTCCCTCAGGTTGTATCCATACAACCATAGATGTTAACCTGTTTTAGAGAAAAACTGAATGGCCAGGAAAAGAGGCTAAACAATAAGATAATGTGTACATTATACACATAATAAAAAAGTAAATGATAATTGATAAATTAATTTATTTATTCTATGGTCACAGAGAATAACTTTGTAAGTCAAAAAACGATCTCATGTCATATTTCTTGTGATCATTTCTCAAGTCTTCTGCCCATTGTGAAGAATTTGGTAACTCTGGTGTCTTTATCTAGACCTGAAAATTGTATTTAATAATACTTAAGGCTCTGAGTTTCCAAAAATTTCTCAATGTCTAGAAGCCTATTGAATCGATTACAATAAACATAACTCATGAGGGCCATTTTTGTGCTTATGATTTATTTCCTGTGTGCATAAAATTAATATATTAAATTTATTTTGCCATGGTCTCACTAAATCTTTTTCTTTAATAATAAAAGTGGTGTCAACATTTCATATTTATAGAGTGAACCAAAATGGAAGTCTAGTCTAACTGTCCCTCAAAGTACTTTATTTATAAAAACTATAATAGAAAATAAAATTAATCCCAATATATTCTAGCTTTGAAAATTTTAATATATTTAAATACTCTAATCTTTTCTGTATTACTTATCTATTTTTAAAAAATATTGGTATGATTCTTTGGTGCTCTTAAACATGTAAATGAAACAATTTATTTGGCTGTTTTCCTAAGAAATAACTTTTAGATTGAAATTTATTTTTCTTCCCAAAACTAATTATTATTATTTTGAATAAAAAAATAAATTAAAAATATTAAATTATTTTCAACATGAATAGTCAAAGTTGAATTTACTAGTCAAACAAGAAGGGGAAGTTGTAGAAAACATAAAACAGTTTTGAAGTTCAACAAAAGTTATGTAAACAAGTATTCCTAAACTGAAATTATAATTTGCCCTCTTAGATAGAAGTATCTTTTCATGGTTTGATAATAAATTGCTTAAATAATTTATTATTTAGAAAATCATGAGGCTGCAAAACAAAAATGATATGAACTTTGGATTATTCAGAACATTAGGATAAGCTGTTTCACTAATTAAAATTTAATTGTTAATTGAGCAACCCTTTCACATGAGGTATTTTTAAATATGAAAACAATTATTAATTAGATGCGTTATGGTTAGATAATTTAAATAGTTTTTGACTTTTTCATATTCTAAAATAAAAATAGTATCAATTTACATTCAAACTGGTCATTCAAGGAATATTATTATCATTGAATTAACAACATTATTGAAAAATAGTGTCTATTCACTACATTTATTGCTAAAGATGTAATTTATATATATACATATAATTTCCTATAAGTTTAAAATTGTGATGATACTCTTGTGGTAGAAAAAGATACATAAGCAAATTAATTTCTAATTAATAGTCAATAAAATAAACACTTATATTATAAAATGGAACTTACACTTAAGTCTTATATAAATTTAAGTTGAGGTTCTAAGGATATTTTTCTTATTTCTAAAACAATAAAACAAAATTATAAGGTAATTAAATTTTACAAATGAATACTGAATTTCTTCTGACGTTGAAGGCAGTTCTTAATCTTCCATTATTTATCATGACTTGTTTTCACTAAGTTGGGACATTTCCTCCCCATTCCTGTAGTCTTTTTTCTTGTAAGCTTTTCTGTAATACACAAAATAATGATTTAAATTACTTAGCAAATAAATTCAACGATAAAAATGAAAATAATGTTTCATTGTGACAAATCAATTCCTCATTTCAGAAATGAGTTTTTATTTTAAAATACACCATGTTCCAGTATTTAATCTGAATGGTTTTGGTAAAACTGAAGAATTTAAAACTCAGCTGTGAAGGTTTTTGTTTACGAAATTTGTTAAGAAAGTTCAATTAAAAGTAAAAAAAGTATTTTACATTTAAATTTTTATAAGTTACATTTATTTTACCCTTCAAAATAGTTTACTTGAGACAATATACACTTATATGATCTCTATTTCCACTGCTGGAAGGTGCTTCGGAAGTTCTCAGTTTTGATGGCCTTCACATCACCAAAATGGTACCCCTGAAGAAACATCTTGCATAATAAAGAAAAGTCACATGCTGCTAAATCAGGGAATGGAAGAAGAATGCTCTGTCCAGGTAATCCAATTTAAGGTCAAAAATTTATGCGCAATTAACATAGTGTGTACATGAGCATCACCATGATGGTGATCCACTGCCTTCCTCAGGCCAATTTCAGTCAAAGCTGAGCCACATGAGCTTTGAGAGATTTTAAATTGTCTTGACATTTAATATTGATTTTTTTTTCTCCTCTGAGTCTCTAGCTTGTTTCAATTTTTTGCTTTGTAATGGATTTTATGACAATTTTAGTTTCACCAGAACTTTGATGTCCATTCGCTTGTCTTCAAAAAAAAAAAAAAAAAGCACTATGCCACATGATAAATATGCAAGTTTGAACAAATGTGTGACAACAAAACTGACTTATAGATCGGCCGACACAAGTATATTGTGTCGCAAGGGAAAAAATATATGTTGAAGAGGATAATTTGAATAAGATGATTAAATGTAAATTTTTTTTTTCACTTTTTATGAACTTTCCACACAAACATCATATTATCCTTTACAGTAAATGTTTCAGCATTCATTATTTTATAATGGCTGTTAAAATGAAACATGTCTTCATGTATATATTTTTATTAGTTTTAATGTAACTTTTTTTCTCTAATTAGACAATGAAAAGTGCATTATCTGTCTGGTATTTCATTTTCTTCTTATAAATTACCTATCAAAAAGCAATTAATATATAATTATCATATTCATTAATAGCTATAATATATATTTTTATTAGTTTTAATGTAACTTTTTTTCTCTAATTAGACAATGAAAAGTGCATTATCTGTCTGGTCTTTCATTTTCTTCTTATAAATTACCTATCAAAAACCAAATAATATATAATTATCATATTCATTAATAGCCATGATAATGAATGATTCATTGATTAATAATATCATAATAATTAATAAATAATATATGCATCAGACATACATTCTTTTAGTTGTTAAAGAAAAATTCAAATTAAATCAATAAATAACTGATTACGTAATACTTAAAATAAGTTATAAATAATATATAAGAATAGTTTGTATATTAAAAAATATTTTCATATCTTAGTGAAATTAATGAGTTTTTAGGGCTCTGTTTATTATTTTGTTTTTTAAATGTATAAACATACTTTGATATGAAAAATCAATGGATGATAGTTATTTTTTTTAACCACAAAAAATATCTATAAATAAATAATTGCCAAAAGTGTAAATAGAATTTTTAATATCTGGTTAATTACTGATTAAACCATATTACCTGTTTTCAAGGACAGTTAAGTTAATATCACAACTCAATGACCCTACAATAGTATCATACGCAGCATGCAAGTGAGCAAAGCAATAGCAGCAGCTACCACACAATAAGCAACTAAAAATTATATATTATAAATACAATCTATTGCTACACCTCAAAAGTAAACAACACTAATTTTAATTAATTTTTCAGTAGAACAGTTTGAGCATAAATGATATCTTTTTATATTTCGTAATAAATTATTTATTTCAAAAAGCCAATTAGACCAAATTGCATGATTCAATTCATACCATATAGGCAACTAATAACCCAAATGTATCAATGAGTCTTTTGTAAAACAGAATCATTGCGACATAGTACAGTTTACCTCTGAGGTGATATATGTTTATAAATTGTTTATGCTACATCAAAATTAAACCATTGTCTTAAGACTTTAAACCCTTATTTAACAAAAAAATATGAATAAAATAAATAAAAATGTGAATTTTGCTATATTTATGTTTAAAAAAAGTTTTGTTATTTTTAAACAACTGCTTTATCCAAATTCAAGCATATCATTTACGATAGATAGAGAAAAAAATTAACCTAATTGCTAAAAAATAAGGATTTTATATGAAAAATTGTAGGCGCATCATCAAGTGAGAAAACACTAACTATATGATATCTTGACAATATGAAACATGAGGGAAGAATTTATCCTTAATAGTTACATTTTTGAAAGAGTTGTTAATATCCTGTGAAGGCCTATTAGTTTTATTTTAATGTAAAGATTAATCCTCTCAGAAAACAGAAAGTACTTTTGGGTTTGGAAGGTACATGGCCAATGACTATCTATCTTAAGGTGACTAGATATCCTATTTTTGGAGGGATAGTCCCGATTTTTAACAATTAGTCCCATGTTCTGTGGTGTTTTGAACAATTCGTGATTTTTGGAATGAATGCACAAGCTAGGACCTTAGGTTAAATCTTGGGCATTAGTAAAGTAACTTCATTTACTACTTCGATTACCGAAATGTCACCTTCAATAAGTTTATAGCATTTTAAAAAAGAGTTACATGATTGTGTACAAACTGCTGGTACAAAACATTTAAGTCTTAAAAAATGTGTTATTATTGAAGTCATAAATTAGACATCAAATACATTATAAAATTAGACTAAATTTTTATCCTTATTTCAGCTGAATAGTATGTCATCTGATTAAAATTTGAACCCGATTATCATTATGTAAAATTAATTATTATAGTTACAAATTTGAACTATTGTTTGGACTTAGTGAACCAAAATTTTAATTAAGAATCTCCCCCTCCTCTCCTCTGTTCATGGTATCCCGATTTACCAATGTTTAAACCTGATCACTTTAATCTATTTATTTCCTTGAAGGTCTATAGGATCATCATTAGGTCAGTATTAATGTTAACAGCTGAAACAAAATCTAATGATGTTATAGAATAAAATTATTAGTGGATTATGTTGCCCTATAAAAGAAAGGATTACTGGAGGATCTACATGATCTCTGGTTCAGTAAAACAGACACCTCAAATGTCAAATAAAATATGAAGGGCAGGGCATACAGCAACTGTTGTTAGCGATGAAAGCTTCTGAAATAAGGGATGAAACCAATCTATGAAGAAGACCGAGGAATCTATGGCTAGAAACATTCTAACAGTACTTGTAGTTCTGAATGGAGGAATGCAGCGGTTGATCAAAATGACTTGTAGAAGCCATAGGATGCCTATACCTGAAAATCAATTGTTGCACCACCTAGATTGATAGAAGCTTGTTTAAAAACTATTTGCAATGAAAATAAAATATTGGAAGAGAAATAATTTATTATACAAGTATAAAGCAGCAATCATGCATATAATAATATTCATGACTCTGGATATATATCTAAACAGTATAAATAAATATATATATATATATATATATATATATATATATATATACTGTTTTTAGAGAGTTATAGATGCATATATATGCATCTATAACTCTCTCTCTTTCTATAAATAGATTTATTTACAAATAAAAATAATAATTCAAGTCAAAAATAGTTATTGTTTAGCCTTTCTAATGCATATTTAAAATATAATTCTTAATAATAGTTTTATAAGGAACATTAAGAAATATATTATTAAAAAAAACAAATAGGTTTTTATGCATACATCAACATATTTGATAAATATCTCAGAAAATCATTTTTAATTTTCTTGGTTCAATATTACAATTCAGAGCAAAAATATTCTGATTTAATGTACGACATTAGAAAACTAAAAGAGCCACAATTATTATTAACATTAGAAAATTAATTGCAACCCAATTCCTCTAAAATAAGAATTAGCCATGCAGTGTTATCTAAGCTGATATATATATATATATATATTTTTAAAATAGCTAAAGTTAAAGCTTAATGATGATTTGGATTATATCTCATATATAATTAATTTCAATAAAAGAAATACTTAGAACTTAATACTCGTTTTTTCAACTATAATTTTTTTTAATATACAAAAATGACCCATAACTAAATAGTTCCAGTATAATCATAAATGTTTTTGTTGATAAAAGAAGTTCTTTCTACTAAATTTAATCCAATTCATCAAATCAAATGACAATTTTTAGGATTGAGATTTTATTGTACCACATATTTTTACAGAATTAATTAGATATTGACTAATATGTTTTAAATACATCCCATCTGTTATCTTAGTCAGTTAAACTATTTATCCTGTTGTGAATTTTCTAAAATATTACAGATCAAGATCAATGATCTTCAAAAATTTAAATATTTAATCAAAAATTGAATCTTATCTTAATAACTTGTGAGCTGATGATCTTTAGATATAGCTCTAAATAGTATGCTTCTAGGTTTCTTCTCGTATATTTGAACCATGCTATTCAAATTGGCCTATGAGAAATATCTATTTGGACATTGCATCTTTTCAACACAATGTTAAAAAAAATAACAAAAAAAAACACTGCTTTTGAAAATTAATCAGCCAACACACAGGTCCCTACACAACACTTTTTTTTTATAGAGAATGGTTTCACATTCAGTCACATTCAGATCATATTATTTCATAGTCAGTCACAAATTAAAACATATTTTGTGTTTTTTTCTATCAAAAATTCTTCTTCTGAATCTAAATGCCTAAAAAAAAAAAGGATAGCTTGTATAAACTTAGCAAATAATGTTAAAATAGCTTCAATTTTTTATATTATGATAACAAATGTTTTTGTGCATACATATTTTAAAATTTAGAAATAAAATATTGAGTAATGGGCCATGGTAATAAAATTTATAGAAGATAGTGTTTGGTTCTGATCAAAGTTAAAGCAAAACCATGGTAGAAATCTATTGAATGAATGAGAATGTTTTGACCCACTTTGTAGACCTACTTCAAGGCTAGAATAAATGTGAGAATAAAAAAGGATTAAACAGAATGAAAGTATATAGATGTTAAATAAAAAAATAAATAAAAAAACTATAAATAATATAAAATAAATCAACATGAGAAATATGACTAAACAATTAAAATTAAAAATATAAATTTATAACAAATTATATGAATATATTGATTTTTTTATATTAATTTTAATTTAATTTTTGTTAATTTAACTACCATTTATGTAGTTTTATTTTTGCCTTTATTGTTTCTTGTTTTTATAGCTTTGAAGAAGGACTATAGCAAGTTGTTAATTGAAGCATCATCAAAAATTATATTGCAAACATACACATATATTTATTATTATAAAAATATATTGGAAAATAAATTAAATGAGTGTTTTAATAAACTAATTATGTTTTCAAATTGAATTTATTATTTTTTTTAATTTAAAATAATTTATATGGGTAGAACAATTATTAGTACCAAACTTCTTTCATCAATTCGTTTGTTAGTTCATAAACTGTCATTATTAAAGTTTTATATGAAAACTTTGTATTATGATAAAAGTGAAAAAATTAAAAATGAAAGAAGTGAAGGTAAAATATGTTCTATAAATGGTTCATCTATAATAATATTAAACAAAGAATTAAAAATGATTGAAACAAGTAAATTAATGTTTTCCATTATGGTGACTACTGTAGGCAACTATATAAAGATGGAAAATTACACTTAAATTCAGTTCACAAAATTTTTAGTACATTTTGACTTACTTTCCAAATAATTCCCCATCTTCAATTGTTTCAGGAAGAGTTTTGTTAAGAGTTTCAGGAAGTATGAGCGCTGATGAACCGCTTACTAGAGAGAGAACACCGAATACTATTAAAGGAAGAGGAGTCCATAATTCAGCCTGATGTATAAGGAGTCAAATATTAATAATTTAATGAAATCTATATAATAAAAGAGATAGATAAGTTAAATTTTACCATAATATTAACATAAGGAGCCAGGATTCCACCAACTCTCGCAAATGTGGATGCAGCCCCCAGGCCGACATTCCTAATAACGGTTGGAAACTGTTCAGCAGTTAAGATGTAGACAGTGCCATAACCTGATGTGATTGCCAGCTTTCCAGCCATAGCTAAGGTGATGCTTAGCCATTGAAGATCTGTCAACATTAGTTAAATGCTTATAGTTTAAATGTTTTTGACTTGGTAATTTCATTAGGCAAATAGACATATTAAGAAGTTTTAAATGAGAGAAAAAAGAAATAAAAAAAAGGAGCATGATTGTAAGTATTTACCAGCTGGAACAAGTGCTGTAGCTAAAAGGCATATCCCTGCAATAATCATGGAACCACAGAGTATGGCTTTCCTGCCCCACCTGTCTAATGTGAAGATGAGGATTGTATAAGCTGGCACTTCTACAGTGCCAGAGATCACGAAATTGATGTATTCATTTCCTCCTAACTTAGAAGTGTTCCACGAGAGACCATAATAGGTTCCACTGCTCACAAACCTGTGAAAATGAGTATGAATGAAACACTTTCTTACTTAACCAAACTTTAAAATTTTATTATTTTCACATTATATTTTCAGTCCTCACCACAAGAAAAAAATAACAAGAGACTTCTTCCTCAGATTAGGATATTTGAAAAGATGAAGAAGGGAAGGTTTTTCTTTCCCTCCTGCAGTTTCTGCCTTCCTGTCATTCTCAACCTGTGTGCCCAAATTCAAATGTAATTAGCTATACCAATATTACAATACTGGCTCTATTTTATAATATTTCATGGTATACTTGGAGTTTTGTAAATATTAATGCTCATAGGAACCCAATTAGTTAATAATTAATGGAATTGAAGCTCTTGATACTAGAACCAAGAAAGTCCAGGTTCACAACTTTTACGCCATCTGAAATTAAACAAGATGCCAAGTAACTCCTTAAGGTTTCGAATAAATCACAAGTCTAGGACTAATCTTGTTTTATCTCAAAGGTAGTAAGCTCTTATCATAATAGGTGTCAAAAAAAAAGCTAAGTCCGGGTATTCCTGAATTTTACACCAGACAAAAATAAGTTAAAACATTGTTGGGGAAAATTCGGTCCTCCCTGATTATTACATCGAGGTCCTTAGTTGAAAAAATATTTGTTAAAGATATTTATTTAATTAAATTTATACAAAACTTTATCATATCGTTAAGCATAGTATTTATTATTAAAATTTCAATGAAAGTATTTTATCAACTGTTTAATAAAGTAATGAACAAATTCATGTCATTTTATTTATTAAATATTTACCTGGGTACAGAGTTCATCAATGACACTTTCAGGCAATGTTTTCTTATTTTCCGCTGCCACAGCCCTGAGAGTTTTCTTAGCCTCTTCCCATCGTCCTTTAGTTAACTGCCACCTTACAGATTCAGGTACAAACCTGTTATGACAATACCAAAGATCTAATATAAATAAATTAATATATTTTCAATCAACTATAGATGAAATGCATATTCTTGAAATATGGAGCATAAAACATATTCTTTTCTACATTTTTTAATATTATCTGACAGACAGAAAGCTATTTTTTAAAGGTTTTTAAAATGGATAGTAAGGAAAATTCATGGCTCAGGTTTCACATGTGTAAACTGAATGAATGTTTACACACAAACCATAAAATAACAGGACCTTACAGGCATCCAAATGCTGTAAGTATACTAAAATGGAAGTTCTTCAATGAGCAGGACACAAAGTTAGAATGGCCCAAGATCAGATTCCTGGCACAATCCTTGATGAAAGGCTTTATAGCATGAGAAGAGTGGGAAGATCTTGGCTCTGATGGAGTAGCAATGGTTGCAAAGTCGCTCTTGCGGATCATCAATAGAAGAGTGGCAGCAACAAGTAGGGAAGATTGGCGGATTAAACACCTCCCCTAAAGGAGGCCTCAAGTCTTCAAGAGTTGCAGCAGCAGAATGATGATGATGACAAAATCTGTTGATAAGTGAACATTACTTTATTTTAGACAAAATAAACAAGTACGATTACAACCCTTGAAGTCTCTTGCATCCAATTCTCCTCCTTAAACAGTCAAATTTATTGCCCAACCTAATGTAGGCCAAGAAATTCAATTTACAGTGATTGAATGATTACTAGTTGTCAATTCCATAGCTATTACAATTGAATAATTGAATAAATTATTTGCAACTGAAACCGTATGAAAAATTTGTCTATAAATTCCTTATGAGATGGAAATTTAAAAAAATCCAATAATAAAAAGCCGTGTAGCTTATGGTTGAAGTCCAGAAGTAGCAATATAAAGAAGATGTGTTTGAACCATGTCTGTCGACATAGAAAAATAGACCAAATGCATCATAATTTATGAAATGCTTACTAAGTTATGAAAGGAAATAACCAAGGCCAGGATTTTTATGCAGTTAAAATCAACAGAATATGCCATATAAAATGCAGTAAAAAACCCTAAAATATGCAGTAAAAAAAAATGAATTCTACAGTAACTAATCTCTAAGTATGCTAAACTTACTAATTACTTGATCATTAATCTGTCAGTAATATATTTAAATATACTGATGTGCCTGCAAAAAGTTTTAAAAGAAAATAGAAATTATGGAGAGATTAAAAATTTCAGTTAAATATCTAAACTAAAGAATAAAATAAATAAAGATGTTAATCCAAAATTACAAAACTATTCTACCCAAAATAAATGTCTGATTCATGCGCTCTTTCTAGTTAATGTGTTTCTCTTTTGAAAACATATTTGTGAATTACGATCATCAAAAGCTCATTGGATGTATCAAAATAAGATTAAACTATTACATGTCAAAATTAATCACACTAAGATACCCATAAAAGTCTACAAATGCGGAAAGTTTTGTTCATTGAACAATAAACCTATGATTGTAATTTTGAATTGCATCTTCAATGTTGCATTTTGATTTTGTATATATAAATGAATAAATATTCAATTATATATTTTTATTTTGTTAATTTACTCAAAATATACAATTATATGCATTTATCCTCAAATATGCAAATATATGCAGTAATCCTCTTCTTCACTCTTTACTTAAGTGACCAACTAACACACAGATCCATTTGATGGATGTATATAGCTTGTACGTAACTGGCGAGAGGCATATGGGTCTGTAGTTTGAGCATTCTGCCTGACATCCTTTCTTGTGAATTGGTATTATAATATTATATTACCAATCCGTTGGAATCCTTTTTTCGTCCCAGGCATTCAGAAAAGGACTTGCTCGCCCCAACTCAGGGCCATCATTCTTTATTAATTTAACTACTACACCACCCCGTACTGGCGCTTTTCCTGTTTTCATTTTGTATATGGCTCTCTCTATTCTCTCTTCCTCAATCACCTCATCTTACTCTTCCTCATTCCAGATTCCATTTCCATTGGCTGAATGGTGATTATAAATACAAACTGATTCATGTAATGATGTCTCCAGACCTCCAAGATAGCTCTGTTTTCCATGACCCCTTTTCCTTCTTCGCTGTTGTATGATTATCACTGCTTTCCTTTTACTTCCTCTTAGAGCTTTAATTTTTAATTAATTCTCAAATATGCAAAATAAAATTTGGCTAATTGCATCACAGTATACTAAATCGTAAAGATTTTTGATCAGCGATTGAAAAAAATCACGTAAACAAAATATGCAATTGCATAAAAATCTGAGCCCTGGCTATAAAAAAAAAAAATTAAAAAATAATACATATTTTTATTATTTAACAAATCATAATTACCAAAGACTTATTTACATACCACCAATAAGTGAAGAAAGCGATACCAGGCAGGGTAAGAGCAATTTGGAGTGTCCGCCACTCCCTGAGGTAGAAAGCAAATCCTGCAGTTAGGATAAATCCAAAGGTGAAGAACATCTGGAAGATCACTCCAGCAACCATTCTCTTTTTTGGACCCACCATCTCCATTGCTATAGAAAATAAATTTCAATTTCAATTCAAAAATTAAAATTTCTATATAATTTTCAAGAGATGAAAAAATAAAATATTAAGAATAATTATTCATATGTAAGTAGCTTTTACAAGTGTATACTATTGTTCGAAGAATCCAACACAATCCCTCAAGTCTCTCAAATAGCTGTAAATAAATCGTCAGTAAATATTTGTCAATTCAGGTATCATAAGGAATTAAAAACATAAAATCACATAAGTACCAACAGACCAAAGACATCATATCTCACATCAACAACCTAAAAAATATTAACCATATCACTTTAAAACAATACAACATAAATTTTAAATAGCATATATTGTTTATTAAAGAGTTTTGTGTTGATCAGCTGCCACCATGTGGTTACTGTAACATTTAACTTATTTCTTCTGTAATAATCAGAATTTGTGAAGCAATAAATGGTGATTTATTAACAGTTATTTCAGCGGCTCAAGGCTTTATGTTGGAATCTCTCTTTCCCATTTTTTCATATTTTGCTTTCTGTAATTATACTATTTTTGTTTTAATTTTTAATTAAAATTACTTTTATTGATTTTTAATTTAATTTTTTATTAAAGTTAAATTAATTCTTATTATTTCTTTTCATTACTAAGAATGTAATATTCGTATCACATTAAATATCAGATTTTATGAAAGAGAGTAACATAGTAAGAATAATAAATAAACTAGTAGGCCCGTGCGAAAAATTCGCACAGCATATTGTTATCAAATGCCAGATTAATAAGAAAATAAAATAATGTAACGTATCAAAAGATAAAGAAATCAAATGTTACTATATCGATAAATATAATCGACAAAGAAAACAAAAATTAATTTAAATCTTCATTTTTGTTTGGAACCAACATGTTTACAAATTTCAGTAAGCTGTATCTTTATTAAAAATTGTTCGATTTCATTGATTTTTTTTTCGTTTTGTAGGAAATTAAGTAATCTTTTATATAATCACGGGCATAACCAAGGGAAAAGTGTGTAATATTTTAGTCATTCGCAAATAAAGTTTTATTTTTTTTATAACTTTTTTGCTTGAATTTTTGGGGTGATTGGACTATTTTTTCCGCCTGAAGGAGAAGGAAGCATCGAAATGGGTGACTCAATCTTGAAATTTGGTGAAAAATTGACGATGATATGGCTTGCCGATCAAAAACACCATTGATAAATAAGATAAACTCCTCCTCTCTCGATCATAGAGACCTCAAGTGAGACATGTATTTAATGACAGTACTACAATTAATGTAAGGTTGTGTGGATGCGAACCCTATGCCTTGCGTTATCTCGAAAATAGTACGTTTTTGGGCTTAAAAACGCAGGATCCGATAGTTCCAGAGGATCCAAGATCCAATTTGTCCCGTATAGATCTACAGACCTGCCACCATTCAGGTATTGAAGCCTAGCAAAATGTTTGTATCGACTTAATTTATTTTAGAAAGAAAAACAAAAGTGGAGAATACGATTCGCTAACCCCCTGTGAAATTCTGAATCCAACGGTACCCCATTCATGGTATTTGAGCATGGCAGGAGCTTATATTTGGTACAAAACCGATTTCGAGCCTTACTGTAATAATATATGTACGGATTATTGAAAAATATGTACAATGTAGCCTGAATTTGACTAACCAATAATTTCTATTTTACAGAATTGTTATAAAATGAATTTCATACTTAAGAAAATATGTTTTTTTGGCTACAACATACTTTTCCAACAATTAAAGGTAATTTCAAAACAGTAAATCAAAAGTCAATATTTATAGAAATTTTTATTACCAATGACGTAAGCTACCAAATAGACACCCGATGTTGTTGCTCCAACAATCATCCTTGAGAACATGAAGGAATAGTAATTTGGTGAAATTGCTACTAACAGCCCGAATACCACCTGCATTACTAGTGATATGAAAAAAATTGGTTTTCTTCCAACCCTGAAAAAAATTGTTTTTTAAGCTCTCAAAAGAATAAATAGAATAATATTTAGAGAAAGGAATGGATTAAATGGTAGAGGGAATCGGGCATGTGGAAGGTGTACCTAGTCACCTGTCGGAAAGGTCCCCGAAAATTATGGAGCCTAGCATCACTCCTATCATGAGTAGGGCATCGGAAGTTGCCTTTAGCCAAGCATGATCACAAACAAGGTCCCACTAAAAAAAAAAAAAAATAATAATAAAATAAAATAAAATTGAATAACAAAAATTGTGTAAGTATTTTTTTTTTCTCGATAGTTCTTTATATTAACAATGATTCTTCTTATATATCTACCCTTTGTAGAAATCTCTTGAGTTACAACTTTAAAACATATCCTTCTTGATATGAATTTATAGTTTAATGTTGCATGGTTTCCTGTTTCAAGGTATACAATGTTTTGACATAGTCAATGCATTAACATTGATGCATGAAATAAATTAAAAATTCCAACTTAACAATATTAGTATCCTGATAAAAATGCTTAAAAATAGAGAAAAAAAGTCTGTAAATAAGGTTTACTTTAGTACTAAGTTGCTAAGTAAGGTGGCTCAGGATTTACTAATCACATGATATAGAAACAATATATGATAAAATAAAGATAATACTTCGTGAGACTGCACTACTAATTAATGAAATGAGAAAACTGATGTAAGGTGTAAACATTTTGCTTAGCAGATGATTAAATAAAATTTAAAAAAATAAAAATAAATATGAGAAGGAGTTAGTCGAGGGTGCGGTCAAATAAATAAAAAAAATTAAAATATATAAATTATTTTAATTTTTGCCGACGTTTCGATCCACTTTGTAGGTCGTCTTCAGGGCGTAGGATGTGGCACTGTGGGAGGCAGTTGAAACACTGGCCCACATTCATAGGCCAGTGTTTCAACTGCCTCCCGCAGTGCCACATCCTACGCCCTGAAGACGACCTGCAAAGTGGGTCGAAACGTCGGCAAAAATTAAAATAATTTATATATTTTAATTTTTTTTATTTATTTGACCGCACCCTCGACTAACTCCTTCTCATATTATATCAACGGTCAACCATCTCTACATCAAATAAAAATAAAATTATATAAAAACTCCTGGTGAAAACTATACTTATTGTAAAATACTAAAGTCATAGAGATTTTGCAAGTTGGAACGAAAACATTAGTAAAAGTTTATTTCTGATATAAAGCACCTTAGGATAAGAAGAAATTATTAATTCTAAAATTAATGATAGTTAAAGACGAAAATTTACATTTTAACAATAAAAAATTTATGATGAATAGGTGGAACAAATATATCCAAAAACATGTGACAGGATCTAAAGAGGATCTACATCAGTAAACAAGAATTTTATACAAAAATAATTTTGTTTCATTTTGTGAAACATTGGCAATGACATGAAATAAGAATATATTGAAGGCACTGAATTTCTTAGCATACAATGAATTTAGTACACCACTATCTCTGATCATTATAAATATCAGGTAAATATTAAAAGGATTCTGAAAAAAAAGCAATTCCCAAAATTTGAAATTAAATGTCTAATACATTTAAGAGTGCAGTATTGACGTATTTTTTCATGTTCTTGTTACTAAAATAGACAAGAGAAAGTCTGAAAATCCTAAATGTATAAACATCGACCATATTTTAGTACTAATGATTGTATCTAAAATACTTATACTTATTATAGAAATAAAACTATAGACTAAAATATACAGACCTACTATGATGTATTTTATACCTCATTAGTTAATGTATTATGAATTATATCTTTCAATAAGCCTTATTTAGTAAAGAATTTTAATGTCATTGAATAAGTCAATGCCCATCAATCAAACTTACTTCAGAAAGTATTATGAATTATAATGTATTATGAATTATATCTTTCAATAAGCCTTATTTAGTAAAGAATTTTAATGTCATTGAATAAGTCAATGCCCATCAATCAAACTCACCTCAGTAAGTGTTGTACTTCCATAATTAGAAGTATCATAAACCCAATGGCTACAAGAAACCGTGTGGTTGGATGGGATCTTCCCATCCAGATAAGCGCCAGTGATGTTGATGTCATACCTCAGGCAGGAGGATCTTGCTTTTTGGAAGCTGTCCCAAGGATAAATCATAGAAGAGATAGAATCGTTGATGTTGAAGTAGCTTGTGTTCGCTTCCTCTCCGGGAAGTAAGCATCTGTCGATAAAAAGTAGCTATTCTTTTATAAAACATCAAAAGGATTTTCCTATTAAAAAAAATGTAGAATATTCCCCAATCTAAAATTATAATTTTTTCGAAAATAAAAAATTGCTTATTATCTTTTTGTGCAAAATAAATATAATATTTCAAAAAAATAAAATCTATAAACACAGAATGAGAATGTGAAAAATAACTTCATAATAATAAAACAATGACTAAATCGATAATTTAAACATACAATATTTACAAATTTTCTTAATTTTTTTTTAATGATAACTTGGGAAGGAGAGACAAAGAAGTGGTCAGAGACTTAATGAAATTCTGAGAACCTAAAATAAAGCTTCCTCCTGAAGTCAACATTTTACCATTTGGTAGAATACTATTAGGTATCATCGGGAGAGAAAATAAGACCAGATGCAACACATCTCGTGTCAATTGATAACAGTTTTCTAACAAAATAGGAAATTATATTACCCCAACACAGTTCAATATATTATTGGAATCTGCCAAAAACAACTTCTGAGTGATTTTTATTATTTTACTTTTTGCTTTCATTAATGGTTTAAAAATAAATGTTTAACAAGGAATTAGTTTAAACGAAAATTATAAGATCCATTAACATAATAAACCAAAATCTAATTACTTAATTTCATTATAAACTACATATTATAAGATTTATTAATTAAGGGAACTTGGCTAATTAATGTAGATATGAGAAATTAACTGAACCAGATTATGGTCGTTAACTTTATTGCTGAAAATTTGTTTCTTTATCTAGAGCCTGTTGACAAAAAAAAAAAAAAAAAAAAAAAACTAGAACAGCTTGTTCTATGATAATCATCCACAAGTCTCGTAGATATGATACATTATGTCATACAATTACTCTTGAAATGAAGAACTATTTTTATCATTTGTGAGAATCCTCCACAGGTAACAACATAACAAGAATCACTAAAAAGAACTCAACTCTTGTGTAAAACCAACTTCACAGGATTCATCGAACAACTAAAAATAAACAAATGAATATGCTTCCAAAATTATATTAAAAATAACATAAATAACTATTCAAAATCAAATTGAACAGTAAATAAGATAATTTATTTATATAGGTGTTAAGCCACACCACGATTCTCAAGTTGTTATAATTGTTTCCCTTTACTTTTCCTAGTGCGATAAGCCCAGACTAATTAACAATTGACAAATGATAAATGCATGCAACTTCGGTATAGATACCAAAAAAAAATTAATTATTATACTGTCCAATTTGATTTGAAATAGTTACTTATGCTATTTATTAATATACTTTTAGAAGTAGATTCCTTTCTTTATTTTTAGTTGTTCTTCTGTATCATTACATACATAAAAAGGTTCTGTCATCATCTTTATTACTTGAACAATTATCACTATTTTAATTATAACTTGTTTTCATTAAGTAATGAACTATAGTTTGGATAATTATTAGCCTTATGTTGTTATGTTAATTGCTGTACAGATAAGTGCTCTGTTTTTGTCATTTTAGTATTAATGTTTAGGGCGTTTTTCGGGGAGAAAAAATTATATTTATTCAAGATGCTCATATTGGGAATAATTTGTGATTTCCTCTGCATTTTTTAAACATAATTTTTGTAGCAAAATCCAGCTTGTTTTCTGATTTTGCTTTCACAAGATAACGGAATTTCTTTTCTCTTGCAGAATCGCAGCTGCTCTGGAAATAATTTTTCCACTCATCCAGATTGCATTAGGAAGGACAGTTCTTAAAATTCTAACATCTTGGAACCACTTTTTATTCTTATGTAAACATTAACTGACCTCTAACTATGACTCCTAACAATACAAATTTTGAATATTTTACTCAATTCTATAGTATCCATAAAGGAAAAAAAAAATTTTCTTCAAATATCACCTTTGAAATATTATGTACTTTCATATTTATATATTATATAATTTAATGCATGTACGGTTTTCCTAAAATTTTTAGAATAAAGCCATCAAATTGAAGACCCTTTCTGTTTAGTCAGTTATTTACTTTCACCTAGCTGCACGGGGGGGAGGAGGGGGAGAGCTTTTGGGCTGAAGCCCCCCCAAAATGGTAAAATATAACCATGTTTTATCGAAAAAAATATAAAAAAGTATCTCTTAAAGTATTATTGTTCGTGTGATTAATATTAAAAGGGCTATAGAAATCACTTAAACACCATTTCATGTAGGTAGTTAGTTTCTTTCTTTTTTTCCAAAGTAATTATCGTTATTTTTTAAAAAAAAGCTTTCCAGCTGAAGCCTCCCCCAAAATTAACTCCTGGATCCGCTAGTGCCTAGCTGCATATGAAATATTGGATTTTGCGGAAAATAATGCAGGATTTCGAGTTTTCATTAAAATAACCCTCTATATAACAAACGGTTTACGTTTACTGGATTATTCATTTGTATGAATGTGAACACTTATTAATCCTCTTACAAACAATAATGTAGCATTGCTTTTTACCTCTGTAGCATTTCGCTGCTTAGAAATAATCCAGTCTTTATTAAGATGTCAACCCGAGATTTTCGTTTAAGTTTGTTTTATGAGTTAAAACTCGGGCAAAATGAGGCCCTGATGGGGCCTATAAAAAACAATCTAGTCTGGGGCGAAAGTAGCATTTATGAGTGCACTGTTCAACGGTGGTTCAAAAAATTTCGAGATGACTTCAACCTTGAAGACAAAGGTCATGGAAGGACTTCCTCTTTTGATGTTCTGCGGCTTTGGAGGAAGAAAAACTCTGAACAACTGTTCGAGAACTTGCAGGAGAAATTAGTCATAGCAAATCGAGCATCGATGACCATCTCTGGCGATTGGAAAGGTAAAATATCTTGAAATTTGGGTTCCATATACATTACACGCCTGCCAAAAAAACTAGCGTTATGAAGTTTGGGCTATACTTCTTTGCCGAAACAAAAACGAACTTTTTCTTTTCAGAATTGTAACTTGTAATGAAAAGTGGATACTTTACGATAACAATTTTAGACAAAATAATATCTAATAAATAAAGCTGCAGAAGGTAACGGTGAGCGACGAATAAAATATAAATAATAATTTCTGAAAACCAACATTATTTAACGTACATTACATGTTTCCAATGAAATTTTCTTACTAAATGTAAACTTTAAAATTTTTTTTTATTCTGAAACAAAGTATTTAAAATCTACCCAATCAAGGCAATGAAATTGTTTAAAATATTATTTCATTGTCCTTGTATAAAAGAAGAAGTGAAATGTAAAAATATTTCATCGATATGTTTATAAACTTAAACTACATTTACTGTAGTTTATTAACTCCAGACCTGATGTTATATTTAAATAATTAGTATCAATCGTCAGTTTATTCCATTATATCATCATGTAATATTTTTGAAAATTAAATTAATGAATAATTTGATGAATACTTTTGCGGAACGGAAATTTCGTAATTTCATCTTAGTAAACTTTACAATGAACAATAACAGTTTAATAACTAACAATCGTACAATCCATAATCATTTATTGGTTAAACATACAAATGTACTTCCAAATCTCTGTAGGCATATATGAGCCTTTTAGTTGGCAGAATGACTAACTCCAATTTCAACTTTTTTTATTATTAATCTTAGTGATATTTCTTGTGGAAAAATGCATACCTTTATTCACAGTTCTATATTTCAACACTGCTGTCACCTACTCTGGAATCAACTTACTCACTGTCTGTACAGATATTATAAGTTTCCAAATAGAAACATCACTAAAATGATATTACTCAAAAATTTTGAAATCGGAGTTCATCATTCTTTCAACTGAAATGCACATATAGCTCAGCGACAGGAGTTATGTGGTTTACGAAAATAGATGGAGCAAGGAGGTTTTAATTTTATTTTAATGGTCTTAATGATTCGTTAGTTGTAAGCTTTAAACACGGTGGGAAGGGCGATGGAATCCTTTCATTCTTTTTTGATTATTGATATATGTGAAAATATGTTAACAAAGCAATTGAACTCTCTATTCTCGGATGCTTCAATTTTAGCGCGGAAAATGAAATAAAATCTTCAGGTAGAAATAAAAGGGTGCACATTAATGAATCATAAGTTTCTAGGATACGTTACTTCATATAATATCATTTAATAGGAACATAGAGCCTGGTAAAATACTTGTGTTGCTACTTCTAGGCCTTCGCCTAGCCATCGAGGTGACTTTTCCTATTTTATTAATTGATTTTAGTTTACATATTTTATTTATTCAAGTAGATTAAGTGTTATTGATTTTGATTTTAATTTTGTTCTTCGAAATATTGGAGAAGGAGAAACGATTTTCTCGTCCCTTCTATATATTTATTGGGACAGAAGAGGCTCGATGACCTCTTCCTCCCATCCCGGCAGTCTGCGCTTATGTTCAGTCAAATGATACCGGCATGCATAATGCATACAAAAAAAAAAAAATAAAAACAAAAGCGAAAGTATTTTATATTTATTTGATTTTTTTTAAATTTTGTATGTTCTTACTAATAAGTTGTATAAAACAAATGACCGTTTTATCAAATTAAAGATTTCAAAGGACTGTAAGTATTTGAATCCTTTTAATACTTACCAATACTTAATAATCCCTTTAGAGTATTCTCTAAGCTTGTTTAATCCCATTCGACTTCTTCAAAAAGCCTCAGTTCAGTTATTTGTTTCAAACAAGAAACATGACAGTATCCTACGGAATTTTCGCAATATTAATGTATTACTAGAAAAAAAATTTCACAGCCGCTGAAGCAGATCTTGAAATTATTAAATATGAAGGGGAAGGTGTCCTTTACCAGCACCTGCGCGGCGTTGGTTTGAAAAATTTAGCAGTGCAGATACGAAGTTGGAAAGGAAGAAGGGCTCCGGGCAACCATTAATGGATATTGACGAGGTTCTGCAGGAAGCTGTTGAGTTAAATCCGTCCATAAGTACTCGCGAACTTGTCAGGGTGTGTAGTGAGTCGAAAGATACTGTCAGTCGCCATCTACTCTCTGTGGGGAAGGTGAAAAAAGCAGTAGACAGGTCTCTCTCGAACTTACTCCTCAGCAATCAGCTAAGATGTTAGAAATTTGTGAAAATTTATTGAAAAACCGTTGCCTGAAAAACTCCTGCCTCATCTACAATATATTCCAGAACTCGTACCTCGGATAACTATTTATTTAGATGCCTGGTCCATTTTCTTCAAGGGAATAAATTCGATAATTTTTCGTAAGTTGAAATTGCGGTCCAAGAGTTCTTTGAGACCCATCCCAAAGAATGTTATCAGCGTAGGATCGAACAATTGGCTAGCAGATGGCTAATGACGGTAGATAACAATGGACTATAATTTGAGTATTTATTATATTTTATATCAAAGAAATAATAATACAAATATTTGATTGAAAAACGGTCATTTTTTTATACACCCTATTATTGTAGTTTCTCATTTAGTCCAATAAGTGAAAAAAACATCACTAGAAAACATTATTGGAATTTTCACGCTAGGTTATTTTATTTGTTGAGGAATATATTCCTAAAGTAGAAGCTAGAAGAAGAAACATCCTCGCTTTAAACAGATAACGACTGAGTAAATATTAGTAACAATTATGAATGTAAATTAGTTTATCCTCAGACAGGCTCAGGATAAGATAAGACCATCTTTGAGATGTGTGCCGTAGTCACGTGTCATTTATGAATGGAGAGTCCTATCTAAACTATCAAAGACCAGGTCAAGGGAACATAGTCTGACAACGTTGGGTAAAATCGAAAAATAAAATATTTTTGCCCAAAATTTCGGAGTGTTTATAATGTCTACAATAAAACGATAAACACGAAACGATCGAGAAATTATTGTTTTTTTATTGCTATGAAAACTTATATTAAATCGTTTTTCGAGATGCGAATAACGAATATCAACTTTCTCCTTAAAAAAATATTTTATTTAATCTATTTGTGCTTATCATTTATAATATTTATAACACATGCATTATTATTGTTTTCGGATCGAACGGGGGCAACAATTGTATAGAGGCTTTGTACATCTGATCTTGCTCCTACATACCTGTCGTATTTAGAAAAAAATATATATATTTGGGATATAGCTATAGTTTGAGTACAATATTGGAACAATTGATACAGCCTGAATGAACAAAAAATTATATAATATTAGCTTAAAGGAAAACCAGATTGAAATTCGTATTTTACACTTACACGAATTTACATAGAAATACAAAAATAAAAACTCTTTGCTTAATATTTTTGCCAAAGTTCTTCTATTTTTTTTTTTCCGAAAATCAGAATCATTGCGAGTAAAGTATAGAACTTAATGATTTGGTTTGGAGAATAGTAATTTAGGTATCTAACTGTTGGTATAAAGTTGAATCTGGAGGAAATCCTGAGGGGTTGTTAATGCTTTAGTGAATGGGATTAAAACATAAATAAATAAATACTCCAATAAAAATACAATCAATGTTTTTCTTATTTTACCCAAAAAAGAAAAAAAAATATATAGATATCCTATAATCTAGAAATCCATACAGACCAAATGCAGAAAAAATAAAAAGAATCTCAGCTTCTATGAAATATTGGTAAGAACATTGTTGTTGTTTTTTTACTTTCCTACCTATACTAGGTAAGGAAAGTATTGCAATCTGGTCAAATTTCCGACATGCGGTTTTCGACGGATCTATACGTTTCAGAGCCTCCTGAGTCCTGAAAACACATTTTTAGGCATTGGTCTGTCTGTCTGTGCCAAGATTTTCTCGGGAACTACTGAACCGATTTTGTTGCTTCTTTTTTTATTTTTTAGGATTTTGACTACTGATGGCTGTGACAGAAATTCGGTGCTCCATGCGCAATAGCTTGCGCGCAATAAATAAAAAGCATGTTTTTCTATAGACTGTAGCGCAAAAACGGCTCTAACGATTTTGATGAAACTTTTCTATAATGTTCTAATCATTGTTTTTTGAATTTTCGTATATAGACTAAATTCCCCAAAAAATTTACGAAAAAAAGTTATAAAAAAAAGAAAAATGTTATAGGGCCTAACTCCTTAAGTATATATTATACGGTAAAATTTATAATAAAACTTTTGAAAGGTAATTAAATTAACAACAAAACAAAAAAAAAAAAAATCATCGGAATCGAACCAGTATTAGCAGATCAATTTTCAGGAAAATGTATCTAGTTCAATTCTTTTTTGTTTCTTCATGAACATATGTAAAGGTATAAAAAACTTTTTGAAATAGGTAGGAAAGTCGTGTAAGTGGACACACCAGATTTTTTTTATTTACAGCCAAAGTTATAAATAAAAAAAATATGGTTGTGAAATAACCCATCATCATTCGAACAAAATATCGAAATGAATTTATAATGCACACTTCCCAGAAGAAATAATTGAAGACACCAAACAATTAAGGACATTTGCATCTTTACGCCTTGCAAAGTTAACAATCCAAGTTTCCTCGTTAATTGAATGATTTCTCAATGGATTCGAAAGACGATGTCTTTTTAAAAATTACATAAACAACTTTATTTGTCATTTCTTTAATTTTCAATTTGTAATATAAAGCTTCATCCAGCCATGCCCTTAATGCTAATTGCAAATTTGTAATTACCTGTGCGCTACTCTTGCTTGTAGGAAGACTCCTGATAGTTTGTGGAGGGCGCAGGAGATGGCTGGCAGGCAGAGTAGAATGTATATCCTTCTCTGGTACTTCCCGAACTGTCCTAGAAGCTCCACGACGTCGTCATACGCCATGGTCTTTCTGCAACAGGGTTTTAATAAATATGAATGAAGGATTTAAGGCAGCGTAATTAATTAGAGTAATTATAAAGTAAAGAATAATTTAAAAAAATGATAATAATGAGTGGTTGAGGTCCACACTGATTTGCTGTAAATCATACGAAGGATCAAGAGGAGGAAATAGATTAGTTGTTTATTTCCAAAGTCCTCCCTAATCATTATTGGCAACTTTTTACGAAACGCGAAAAACTATATTTTCTACTCCAGTTGTTGTATAAAAACCGATAGAAACAAAGAAAATAAATTCAGAAAATTTGTAGAACATATTCTTGAAAACCATTGGTTATTTCAATAGTAATTAAAAACCATTGAAAATTAAATAGGACCTTTTTTGGAAAGAATTAAAGGTTCAAGTCTTCTTCTTGAACAAAATTAGAGTGATTGGGATTCGTTTTGGAGAGAAAAAATTGGTGTATGATTCGGGGGGAGAGGAACAGGAGAAAGGGAGAGTTTTACAAATTTTAATACAAAAATTAACTTTTTGTTTATAATAATGGTACTATAACGTTAATTTATTTTTAATTTTCTCTGAAATAAAACGATTAAAAATGCTTTTAATATTTTTTTTTAAAAGAATAGTATTTTTTAATTATTATACTATTGTTTTTTTTTACCTGTAGTTTCTTGCAGCCCATACTCCTTTTGAAAACATGTCAGTACGTTTTTAGAATAAATATATGCAAATAAAAATGTCCTTTTAGTCTATAATTGATAAATAATATTACCTATTTATATCATCCTCGCATGGGCTCTTTACCGCGTATGGGGAGCGTCCCACGGGTGGCGGATGTGGGGATGGTCGGTGGAAATTCCTTGGAAGTTCCTCCCGGCTAAGTCCGATGGACTCGCTGACCAACAATGAGAGGGGTCCCCCAGACTTGCTGCAGGGAGGGAACCTCCAGACTTGCTGGAGGTAGGGGCCCAGCAGACTTGCTGGAGGGTGTGACGTAGGATTGAACGCCCTACTCACATATCTTTAGTTCACCAAACACCACAAAAAGTCATGGATCTCCCTAAGGTAAAACGCTCATTATCCGGAGGTAAACTAGTCCCCCGTTCGGGTCTCCGGGTGGGGACTGCTTTAGGGGATTCATGGCGCAAGTTGAAATATAGGGATTTAAATATTGGTACGTGGAACGTAAGGAGTTTAAACACAGCAGGGGGGCTAAAATCGGTCGCGAATGAGGTAAATGGGTACAATTTGGATGTCGTTAGGGGGCGGGGTGGCCGAATAGGCTAAAGCGTGTGTAACAGCACCGCTAGTTGCCTGGCAACCGGATAACAGAGATTTGAGATGATATAAAAAGTACGAGTTCGCGTCCCGGTGCCGGAGGGGATTTTAAATTTCCCCGCCCTCACCCCCCGGCCCGGGAAAATCCCGTATAGCCTAAAAGGCGAGGTAGGGAAGAACAAAAAAAAAAAAAAAAAAAAAAAAAAAAAAAAAAAAAAAAAAAAAAAAAAAATTTGGATGTCGTGGCTCTGCAAGAGGTTCGCTGGCCAGGGGAGGGCTCGATGAGGGAAGGAAAGTACACTATTTGGTACGGAGGAAGCGGGAATCATTGTTTAGGTACCGTGTTTCTAATTAGGAGTAGATTACTATCCGCTTTGAGGGACGTACAATTCTTTAGTGATAGAATTTCGGTAGCTATATTTCAGGGACGTTGGTTTAAAATCGCATTAATAAACATACATTGTCCGACCGAAGACAGTGACGATGAAGTCAAAAGTGAATTTTACGATAAACTCGAATGGGTTTATGATAAACTACCGCGAAACTACATGAAAATAATTGTAGGTGACGCGAACGCAAAGGTAGGAAGGGAAGAAGTTTATATTCCGACGATTGGTAAAGAAAGTTTGCACGAATATAGTAATGATAATGGGATCCGTCTGATAAACTTTGCCATCTCGAAAAACCTGATAATTAAAAGTACGACGTTTAAACCTAAGGATATTCATAAATATACTTGGACATCACCGGATTAGCTAGCAAAGCAGTATAATTAAGTACGGTCTTATCGCGGAGCAGAATGTGGGTCGGATCTTGATTTAGTAATCGCGAAACTTCGACAAAAACTTAATATAAAAAAGAGAAAAGAAAACCGTTTCGATTTTGAGAATTTTAATTTGGAAAAATTAAAAAATCCATCAATTAGAAACCAATTCGAGCTAGATGTTAAGAATAGGTTTGAAGCTTTAGAGCTTCCTGACGAGGACCACGAGGATATTGACAAGTTATGGGTAGAGATCAGGGATAATATTAAAGCGGTCGGTAACTCGTGTCTAGGAAAAAAGGAAAATAAGAATAACAAACCGTGGTTTGATGAAGATTGCTTAAACATGTGTGAAAAAAGAAAAGCCGCTAAATTAAAAGTTATAAATAATCCTAGCGAAGACAATCTGGAATACTTCCGAATCTCAAAGAACGAAACGACAAAATTGTTCAAAAATAAAGAAAGGGAGTATCTTAAAAATAAAATAATTGAAATAGAAACTAATAGAATCGAAAATAACGTAAGAGACATGTACAAAGGTATAAACAGATCACGTAAATATGTAGGGCCCGTAACGTCTGGAATTAGGGATGATGATAACAATATTCTGACCGATCCAGTTGACATATTGAATAAGTTTAAGGACCACTTTGACAATATTTTAAATACGGGAAATTATGATCTGTGTCCTCCTTCTGAGTACCAGAGTGCTGAACCGTTAATAGAAGGACCAAGTAAAGAGGAAGTTGAAGTAGCTATCGGAAAATTAAAATCATATAAAGCAGCGGGAATCGATAATATTCCTACTGAACTAATTAAGGCATGCGGAGAAGCTGGAGCTTCTAAAATACATCGGTTGATTAAAAAGATCTGGGTGAACGAGAAATTACCTGAAGAATGGAAAGAATCTATTCTTATTCCGATTCACAAAAAGGGTCCGAGGACGGATTGTAATAACTATCGAGGTATTTCACTCCTTCCGATATGTTATAAAATATTCACTTTAATCTTAACCAGTCGAATCACGGAATACGCCGAGGAAATTATCGGAGACTACCAATGCGGATTTAGACGGAATCGTTCGACTATTGATCAAATATTTTCTTTACGGCAAATATTAGAGAAAAAATTGGAGTATAACGGTATTGTTCACCAGCTGTATATAGATTTTAAAAAGGCTTACGATTCTATTGACTGCCAGAAACTGTATAATATTCTAATCGAGCAGGGGATTCCAAAAAAACTAGTAAATCTAGTGAGGATGTGCTTGACGGAGACACTCAATAAAGTTAGAATCGGTAATAATTTGTCCGAAAAATTTGAGGTTCGTTCGGGCTTAAAACAGGGGGATTCTCTTTCGTCTGTCCTGTTCAATTTGGCATTAGAACATGCTATTAGGGAGGTAATGCGAACCGAGAAAGGGTTGGATCTGGGCGGGACAACATCCGTGCTGGGCTATGCTGATGATCTGGTACTGTTAAGCGAAGACGTTGAAACTATAAAACTAAATACGACAACGTTAATGAAAGCCGGTAAAGAACTAGGACTCGAAATAAACGTTGATAAAACAAAATATATGGTTAGCTGCAAAAATGGCGATACTACTGGTGATATCGATATAGATGGTAATATGTTTGAACAGGTAGATAAATTTAGGTATCTAGGTTCTACGATAACTAGAAAAAACGAAATTGAAGAAGAGATTAAGCTTAGACTGAAGTCGGGAAATGCTTGTTATTTTTCTCTGACAAAACTACTCAGTTCGCGCCTCTTGTCCCGGAACTTAAAAATTAGAATCTATAAAACAATTATCTTGCCTACAGTTCTTTATGGATGCGAAACTTGGCCGCTTACATTAAGGGATGAGCAGCGTCTTAAGGTTTTTGAAAATAAAGTATTGCGTAGAATATTTGGACCGAAGAAGGATGAGTTAACCGAAGAGTTCAGACGGTTACACAACGCCGTTTTTTTTTTTTTTATTTGGGTTTGAAACCAGGTGACTTACTCCTTTCTCTCTGTCCTACATAATGTAGCATTGGAACTTGCCATTATTGATAAATAATGAAAAGATTCATGAAAACACTTTTGCTCGGGTATGTCGATAATTTAGTACTTTTAAGTGGAGACACGGAAACTACAAAAGCTAAATTCAATAATGTTGATCAAAGATGGTAAAGAAGAGGGGTTCGAAATAAATACGGATAAAATTAAATGTTTGGTTAGTTGCAGTGATTTTGGCAATTTTTAGATATTATAGTCAACAATAACTAGAGAAAACTATAATTAGTAAATTAATCTACGCCGAAAGTGGAGTTATTTTTCGGTTGCAATATTACTTAATTCGCATCCTCTATCCAAAAATTTAAAAATTGACAAAACTGTTATTCTTTACGGTTTTTTACAAATCGAAACGTGGCAATTTAAAATGATAGATTTGAGGCTATCCGATCTACCAATCGCTAAAAGATTAATGTTGGCTAGGTCGAATGGTAAGCGTTCGATAGATATACCGAAGTAAAAGGCGGGATTTGTGGAATTGGCATCGAAATTTCGGTTTCGCTAAAACGTTATTATTATTATTGCCTCTATTCAGCTCTCTTTCTCTATTTTAGTCGTAGTGTAGGCTTTTAGTAGATTTGGGATGAAGTAATGAAGAGGAAGGGCGCCAGGTAAATCCTCGACTCTGAAAACGCACGCGATGGCCCTGACTATAAGTAAAGAGCAGGAACAAATTTTTGAGGCATATTGGAGTCGAGTTAAAAGAATACCGGCAACTGTGTGTTGCCTTATCAAAACCTACTTGCAAAGAAATCCAGTATAGACGTAATTGAAGCCCGATGAGAAGAAGAGTGAGTGAACAATAACAGAGACGAAGAATGGCGAGGGGGGGCATTTAATAATTGTCGTTGGTATGCTTATGCCACAAGAAAAAATATTCACGCTGAATTACTTTATGGTTTCTTGAAAT